ATGGGTATACTTTTGGCATTATATTGGAAAACAGTGACAGGGTCTTTGCTGTCCCAACCCCTCTGGATCCAAGACAGCCTTTAATGTCTGACTTCTCTCATACTTCTAATTCAGTATTTGTATTTCTGTGTTGTTAATCTGTATTTATTATTTATGAAAATTAGTATTTTGAAAATAACTGTTTCGATCCTGTCAATTACCATTATTGCCATCACAAACGTGTGTGGCATAAATTCCCGTGGGGTATTTTTCTGGGTTTTGTCAGCTGTTGTACCTGCAACAACTGCTTTTTGGTAGGTTACCTGTTAACAGGGTCAGTCCATAATATGAAAGCACTGGCTCTTTGGAAACTGCTGTGAAACTCTGTAGAATTTGAGACGAGACATTTTGCTTCTGCTAACATTTTTAATGCAGTGTTGAAAAGCTTGCTAACTCGTCTGGATGAGTGGAGCAGAAACATTGCCAAGAGGCAATCGACAGTAAATGGGTCTATGAACTTTCCGGCTGCTGATCACTTGGTACGTGGTAAAGTGATCACACTGATCAGTCATTCTGTGTTTAAATGACTTGCAATTAGCATCACTGCAATGTGACACTGCCAGCAACTGGGCCTGATCCATTTCACCAACACTATTGTCCTAACTTGGCCGCTGTACCATAGTACCTGTATTGCTCACAGTCAGGGTCAGTGAAAGCAGCATTGGCCACTAGCTGCTAACCCAGCCCTAAATCAGGGTGGCCTCTATATCTCTGCCTGCCAACCTGCAACCCCCCTCTTTGGGTACAATACATTCTCTAGTGTTAAGACACACACAAACACCCATCCCACACTCCCGTCATCAGTCAGCGTCAGGGCAGATAGCAGCAGCCGTCAGGCAGATGAGTGACGACTGGCCCTGTTACCTGAGCGCCTGCATGACAATAGGCCTGTGGGCTGAGATAGAGAGACAAAAGCTGCAGCTCCGCCGCACGCACGCACACAAACAGGCATGACACAACACACCAGCTGATCTTTATTGTGTGCTACACAATTAGCTGTCAACTGTCAACTGGAGACATGTAAAAGATGTGCTATACAATAAGACCGAGCTAGTCGCACATAATCAAATGCATCCATACATGTTGTGGCTGCAAACTTTTCTTCGGCTGTAGTTAGAACAATATCGTGGCACCAGGTTTGATCACACATGCGTAGCAATCAAAGTACTGTCTGTATCGATCCAAACCACCTGAATACAATCACGATACTGTGCATCCATATTAAAGGCAACAAAAGAGTAACCACATTATAATGTATCTGATCCAGTCATTTAGCATATCTTTCACCACCTCCCTCAAGATAACAACACTCCAAAGGGCTTATTCCTCACTTTAGAATAAATAAAAAATGTATATATAGAATGCAGAGTGAAATTGCTACCCAAAGTATCCTAAACACCTACTTGAATCAGCAACAAGCAAATCCTATTAAATCCTGTTAATTGGGCCTCATTCAAGCAAATCCTGACTGCTCGCGAACAATATAAAAATATAGATTTTAATGACTTCAGGGAGGCGGAAAGACCTTGCATATTAGACTCATCAATAGCTTTTTCCCTGTGCATGCTAAAAGTGTGGGATGTTTTCAGGCCAGGAGGGTGCACTTGCCTCCTCAGCCTCCATTTGCAGTTTTACAAAAGCAGATGTCGCGCCCGAGCTTACATCGGACTCCTTGGCACACAAAAACAGTTGCTCAAAAATACCCAGCCTTTGTATGGCACAAGATTTATAACAATAAAAGTCTCCCCAAAAGGCATTGAAACGCACCAACCGTTTTGCAAGCAGCCTTGAACTCTGCCTGATCTGCTATTTGTTACCTCGAGCACTTGGCAAAACAAAAACGGCTACAGCCCAAACACTTGAAAGGGCTTATTGCTCATGTTGCGCACAAGTTTGTGTGTCTGTCTGGCTGAAACAAGTGAAGGTTGGAAGACAACACACTGAAAAAGCCTTGATCCAATTTGGAAAACAGGTTATCTGCAGCAGTTTAAATGCCCAAATTTGTAATACCTTCAGGTAATTACGAAATACCCCCAACACACCCCCCTGCAGAGGGTTTGTGTTGCATCTTGAAACACTGCGAGCACAACAATGAGTCACAGGTTTGGGCACTAAAGGATGATGATTATGTTAATCCAACAATGCCAAAGCTCTATTGTATGTCAGATTTTTTGTTGCAAACTCATGACCTTATTAACCTTCTTAATCCTCAACTGGGTTCTCATGATAAGGGGCTTACACACCAACACGTACACACATTCCCACACACACACACAAAGAAACACTTTCACTTTGATGGCCAGCAAACACTTTAGGAGCCATATCCACCTGTTTTATCCCACACACCTGAGGTCCCCCTTCATAATATCAGAAGAGGCCCTTGAGTCATGCGATACAATTAACGCTCTCCCTTAGATCAACATGGAAGTGAAAAAAGGAGGTTGACGGCGGCATTTGGAGCAGAGGGCCCTCCCAGTGTAGGCACATGAGAAAGCAGGTTTGATTGGTATTAAGTGGTGAGATTAAAAAGCCATCTCATAAGTCAGGTCAGCTGGTGTTCATTTGAATGCATTACCAGGGTCCGAGGCTAGATAATTCTCTCATTAGCGCCACTCAAACCCTGAGTGACAACACGGGTGAGAAGGGAGCATGTCGTACAACACTTAGAGTTAATTAGTCCGCGCGCACTGTTGCTCTGCGCCCTATCTGTCCGCTCTCTCTTGAAATGGCCTGAACCTAAGGCGCCTGCAGTTAATCAAAGATGAGCCGTGGAGTTTTCCAGAGGAGAACCACTTGTTGTTTGGGGAGATACCTGAAAGGCTGTTCCTTTGCTTCCAACTCCAGGAAAAGAGTGCACACACAGCAGTCAGCGGGTATGTGTGCCATGAGTATCACATTCGCTGATTGCATGTTCTCTTGAAGAGTTAAAGCTGAAACATGTTACACAACTGTTATACAGTAGCTCATATTCCAAGACACTGCCATTGTGTAAATGGTTGCTGGGAGCTAGCGTGTCAACAAGGATAGACCTCAACATGGCAAGAACCTGAGCTGACTTGTAACTTGCAATACCAGGAGACTTGGTGTAACCAGTCCTTTGCAAAACCAATGCTAAGTATTATTTAACATGCACAAGAACTTTAATGTTGTTTCTGTCCCCAAAGAAACTTCCCAACTCCATGAAACTGGAACTGTTTTTTCTCATCCTAGGACAATATGGATACAGTTGTTTAAGGATATCTAACCTACCAACGTTGGTATTTTTACTCACGTCATACCTTCATCTTTGTTGGCTTATCCAAAGAAACTTAAAATCTAGCTAAAGCTAGTTGTTTTGGACCATGCTCTGTAGATACAGGTTGTGAAAGAAATCTGACAAATTGTTTAGCTTGTAATTAAGTTGTCAGATGTCTTAGCCAGTGTTTGTTTTTAACCACATCTTTACTTCCCTTACCCAAAAATCTATCAAGCTTTTCAGCTATACAGCTATACTTATGCTAGTTGTAAGCTCAGTCAGTGTGAGTACACTGCACCCTGTAGCTAACCCATCAGACTAATTGCAGGATTTTAGGGTAATTTCTTGCCACACTGCTCTGATTTTGTGGATATAACAATTAGTGACCATTGTTTTCCCACTTTTGGGGCTGAAACTTTTTTAACTATGTTGCATTTTCCTGCATTTATGTGACCAAATTTATTTGAAAATGTTGGCGTGTTCCCAAAGAGTAGACTGGAAACCAAGTTGGAATCCCCAAACAACAGGTAACAATCTCTCATTGAATAAAAGTTGGTAAAAGATTGTGATTTGAGCCAAGAGTAGGTCCATTTTTAAGCTTTGGTGGATTGTTTATTGACTGCTCATTTATACATTTCTTTGAGGTTAAAGTTCTTCGTGTTATTTGCTTTATATATATTGTTGTTTTATTTTTATGTTGGTAGCTATGCATCAAAGACACAAAGGCAGATTTCCTGGTAAAACCTGCTCGTTAACCTCCATTCTTCTCCTGATTAGTTTGTAAATTACTGCTTCTCTTGGAGCTGTTTGGTCATGATCCCCTGACTGCTTGTGTTTTTCTTTCCCAGTCTGATAACTTTCTGTGTTTACACACGTTTACCGTCCTGAGTGTTTTTGGTGCCAATGCAAATGTTAAAAATGACAGAACAGCAGAACAGAATTGGTGAGCTTTAAAAGAGTTGTCTTTCTTCCTGTCCGGACAGATAAAACCCTGCAGGTAACCATTTTCCGTCTCTAAAGTTTTAAAGGAGATTTTGAGCGGATTAATTTGTCTTCATTCTTTGTCGATGTTTGCATATTGGGAGCACGAGGTTATATCCACGTCATTAGTCTCCGCGCTTGGATCTCGGCCTGATAACTACACTGCCATCACAGCTACACTCACTCCAGATCTAAAGGTTCCATAAATTGTCTCTTTTCCTTTTCTCACTTTATGTTCACTCACTCGCACTACTTCTACTGTTCCCATGAGACACGGCGCTCGGCTCATTGGCCACCACACACACGCACACACAGGGGGGGTTCTCTCTCTGTCGCTACCACCGCTGGGCTTACCCACCACAGACACACACACCCTGAATACCAATCTCTGCATGTGCCCCCCAACTGAGCACATGGGGTTAGCTGAATATTCTAGGAGCCTTCAATTTTTCAGGCAGGTCTGCGAACCCCCCTACCCATCATGCGGCGCCATCACACTCAAGGGAGTACGATTTTCAACAGTCGTTAGCGGGGTCATCTGCAGTCCCCGAGGGAGGGACTTGAAAGAAAAGATTTGAATTGCCTTTTCTCTCTTTTTATTCTCTTTTCATCTCCCCTGCTTTAGCTCTCTGTATGGGTCTGTCATAATTCCACTTCCTGTCTTCAAGGCCTCGCAATATTCAACCCCCCCTCCTCTTCCTCTTCAATCTTGTCTCCGCCGCCAAATTCGTCAATCAAAGACGAGGCCTTCCAAAGCTCTTTTTATAGCTCCGATGTCACGCTTCTTACGCCACTGTCAAAAGTGGTGACAGAGCCGCTGGTTACGCCACGGTAAGGCGTTTATCCACTTGTAAAATGTACTGTAGTGGATCAAATACAGGATGTGAGGAAAATGGCTTCCAGCTGAAAGAGAGAAGAAGAAGAAGGAGGGGGTGGTGGGAAATGAGAAAACATTTCTTCTTCTAACTCTTTTGCACTAATATGAATTCCCAGTGAAATGTCTGGCGAAGTAGGTCAATGGGATTTAGAAAGTTTGTGCTGTTTTTTTTTTCTCTCCCCTCCCTCTCCTCATACTCTCTTGTCAATGGAAAATGAGCAATGCGATTAGGAGAGAGGAAGATGATGAGCTGCCGAGTGAAAAAAAAAGGAAAAAGAGCAAGTGAAAAAGAAAAAGACAGGCGGAGGGATGGTTTGGGCCTCACATGGGTCCCTCACCAGCTGACGGAGACACCCAGACAAAGAGAGAGGGAGAGGAAAAGGGAAGAGAGAGATTTGTATCTACGCTCCAGAGGAAAGGAGTGGCTGATGTCTCTTCATCTTGATATTGAAGCAACAATCTAATTATACAATTTCTCCGGGGAATATGCATATGAGGGTAATCAGTAAATAGAAAAAGGTAATTATTTGCCACAAGTCATACCCTTTGCACCTGTAAGCACTGCACTGATACACAAGATTGTGCGTTTTCCTGCGATTCACAATGAAGATCATCATCTAAATTATTCAGCTAATTTATAAATGAATCTCCCAGTTATTGAATATTTCAGGGCCTGTCAAAATGTAATGAGTAAAAGTTTGGTCAAATACAAATGGGTCTCTCTGGGTAATTTGCCAGAATGTTCCTTGGGGGTAAATCTCCGCTAGCGAATGTGATTGAATGTTACAATTAAACGTGCTAATTCATTGTCAAAAGCAACTTATCTATACACATGATATATTTGGCGCTTAATTGGAAAGCACATTTGGAAATGGTGTCTTTTGCGGCTTTCTACATCGCGGCTCTAATCAGAATAAATTCCTCTGCTGTAATGAATTGAAGTTGAACATTCCTAGTTGGGCTATTAAAGAGGCTCCGGTAGTGAATTATTTAAATGCTAATTAATGTTTTAAGATTTCCAACCTGCAATAGAGACATATTATTCCATATTATCCTCATTTCAACATACTTTAAGTGCAGAGTAATTTAAAGGTCATATTTCATTCAATCAGTTCAGCAGGAGTGGTGTTTCTTTCGCTCGTGCAGCTACCTCAAGTTGGAGAAAGAGGAAGATGGAGCCCATCAATACTGGAAGACAGCCGAAGGAATTACAAATCAACTCCCATCGCTGCACCAAGGAATCATGGGAAACAGGTATCAAACCCACTACAGTAGAGAGGGTAAGAGAATACCCCATTGTTTATTAATTCCTTACCACCGTGAAAGATGCCTGCTTGTTATCATTTTTTCACCAACGTCTCCAAACGACAAGTTGCATCTGTTATGTAAATGTTCACCAGCAGCTTCTGACACAGCCACAGATATTAGACAAACTTCATTAGCGTTGAAATAGTGTGAGATATGGCTCAACTTTGCCTTCAAAGCAGCCTGCAAAGAAGTTCTAATGCGAGCGGCGGCGGCATTATTCATGTTTCCACAATAGCTTGTTATTCATCATAAGACAAAGGAGAATCTCACTCGGCTTGACATAGATGGAGGAGGGCCACTAGGGTATTACTCACATCTGTTGAAAACAGTATGCACAGCCAACTGGATGTCACGATACACTATGCTTATTAATGCAAACAAAGTCTTCCAACACAGAATATAAATGACATTTTCCTTCACATCCGAGCATAAATATTAATTGTGTTAAATCTGTGATGTATTGTGGTTGGGGAGCAGCTTTGGTTGTTTACTGTTAAACCAACAGGATGCATTTTATTAATCTCAGCAGTGCATCTTGTGACACCATATTGTGAAGTGCAAACACATGCTGAACTCAAGACTGCAGGCTTGTAGTCCCCTTTAATACCACAGGGTGACACTGTAGGCTTACAAACAGCTGTGTGGAAATGCTCAGAAGCAACTTGGATGTTTGGTTGACTTCAAGGAGCAAATATTAAGTAGATTTTTGACAACTTTGTGGGCCTTAACCATCACAAGTGGTCTGCAATGTTTTCTTCCTTTTGCATTCAATTATGAAAGCCCTGTATTCAGTGGAGCTCCCTTGGCCTTGTGGGTGTTTTGTGCATTGTTTGGCACTCCGTATGATTAATCTACCTCCACCACAGAATGCACAAAGAATCAACAGAAGGCTTTTCACCTTGTTGCCTCTTTTCTTTCTTTAAGAAGAGAGTTTGCACAGCTGCCCGGGGAACACAAATGGCATTGAAACTCTCTTCCTGTGGCAGGACATCTGTTGCTTTCAGCTGGCATCCCTTCTGAACTTACTGAGGTGTGCCTTACACAGCCTGACAGCATTATAAATACTAAAGTGACTGTTTTATGTTATTTAAAAAAAACGTTTTGGATGTAACAGGAAAGATGGTGCCAGAGTTTTGGGATAGAAAAGCAGATTGTATGATGAGATTTATTCCTCCCCGGATGCTAAACAGGAGCAACACAACACAGTTTACTCGACATTACGAAAGAAATCAAGACAGCACTTGATCAAACTTTATTCCAACATTTTTTTATTTATGTTTCAAAGTCCTCACAAAACTTTATGCCCTTGCCCTTTCAAAGTAAAAGTATTATCTCTGCAGTGTGTGTTGAAGTATGGCCTTTTCTTTGGATTAGCCCTTGACATACTTAAACCTTCCAGTCAACCTGAAACCTCCAGAACACAATGCAAGGTATTATAGTGTGTATGTGTGCGTGTGTGTTGAAGTTCATAGTGGTAGCTGTGTATCAAAGACACATTCATCTGTCTCTCACTGGTAGATTCAAGGAGAAGATAAGCTCTTAGAGATGTGAGATAGACGGCCTTTCCGCATCAGCTTACACCTATACATGTAGAGAGCATGCACGTACACAGGCGCATTACAATGCTGCTATTCAGGCTGATACCACCATCGATATTGCTGTTAATCCTTGGGAAAAACGAGGCATGTATACAGCAGCCTCTGCAGCTCTTTGAGGGGGCTGCAACAGCTTGGTCTTACAGCTGCGAGGAAGTGTCCCCTCTCCGTAAACCTCCTCATACGGGCTGACTGGAAGCCAAGCAGGACTGAATACTAATTTACATTCCATTGAAACAAGTCTGCGCTCATGTCCTCACTTCCCCTGCTGAAGTCAGATTTTCTGTGCAGTAAGTCTGTTTAATGGACCTAAGCATGACTATTTTAACTAGAGGAGGAGAGGTGCGTTAAATTTTGGCTCTTCAGTGAAAGCAAACAGAAACCTTGTTGACTGGTTGAACTGGTTTGACTCATCTGATTCAGTTTGACACAGTAAAACTCTTCAAAATGAAATTTTCAAAGATGTTCATTTTTTTTTTTTACATCACTGATCTAATTTGTGTTTCAGGATGATCTTTGCGTACTCCCGTCCAGACTGGTACATGGTTCGGCTTAGCTTTCCATCGTTAAAGTCTACATGGTACAATCCAAAGCGAACGCTGTATCCATCAGACCATTCGAAGTTGTCCATCAGCGACCATGCAAAATACCCACAGACGTTGACCTCATCTTCTTGGATAGCTATAAGCAGAAAAAAAAGACCTCTTATGTTTGAGAAGGTTGAAGTCAACATTTTTAACAGCAGTTAGTCCTATAATGTGCAGCATGAGTAATCTATCTGAACAGCTGAAAACATTGTATTTTTCTGTCTTATCTTGCCTTGAATAAGTGCTGTACTACCACAAATTCAAATGCTAAATCTCCTGAATAATTATAGTATTCATAGCAGTGAAAAATACACATATTGACCAGATGGTGGTGACAAACTGTGGGCGTTTTGTTTGGTTTATATTTCTCAAACACTGCGGTTTGAACATGGTACATTTTGCTTTTCACTGGAGTTAATTTCTCAAATTTTTGACCCTGCAGATTAACCAGCTTTTACCTTTAGCCACTTCCAAGAGTGTATCCTTGTAAAACTTTGAGCGTTGATCATCCTCGATTTGCAGCGTTCCCACCTGAGAGAAGCCATTCTCCGTAATGTAGACTGCAGGGTTGTCGAACGTCTCCTGCAAAGTCACAGGGCAAAAATATTATCGTCAAACAAGGCTTCTCAGCTGTCAGACATTCCAGACGGAGACAGATTGGTCTACAATGTGCCGTTTAGCTGCATTTCAGCTGTGCCAAGCTCAAACTAATGGCCTGTGACAAGTCACAACAGCAGGAAATTGCAATTGCAAACACTTTCAACAAAGTAACAGTTTCATTCAATGTGACAGCACTAATGAAGCATCAGTGTGTTTCTGGAGGTGTTAAGAGGAGATTACTGCATAGAAAATCGATAGAAAGACACTAAACAAATGTCAGAGTGTTGTTTAGTTGAAGGCCATTTGTCTTCTGGTTGCTAAATTCAGTTTAAGAGGAGGGAAAGGGAAAACAGAATTCACATTTTATCACATTTCATCAAATTCAATTTAAAATAAAGGCTGTTTTTGAGTCTTGTTTGGATCAATAAAATGAAACTTCAAGATTGATCAGGAGTTTAAGATGTACCTTGATGTACTTGAGAAGTTTTCTTAAACCATCAGGCACCACAGCAAGCCAGGACACACCACAAATAGGCCAGGACGGATCCAAAACGTCTCCTGCATCTCTGTCGCTCTTCATGCACAGAATATTTCCACAACTTTCTCCTTTTTTGACTTTACGAGATGTGTAGTAGTTCAGTGCAAAGAAGTCGGCTGTGCCCAAAACTGTGGGTTCATCTTTGGAGAAACTGGGCAGTCTTGGGCCGCCGTTGAATCCTAATTTCTTACTCTGTGCTTCGATGGCAGATCTCATTATTTCAGGATAATCTCCTGTTACAAACACAGGCCAGGTGAACCACCCCAAAGTGAATGCAAGGTAGCGTTCAGTCGCAGCAACATCCTCTTTGCAATGTGTGTTTAAAGGCTCAGCCCAGTCGCTGTTGACAGCAAGAGACACCCAACCCTTCTGCTCCTTCCTGTAGTCATGGTTGTAGCTATGCCAGGCCATGGCATGGGCACGCAGCATGTTATGGCCCACCAGGTAGGCAGCAGTTCCTGGTTCTTTTAACCCTGGGGCATGGATGCCGTCTTCATGACCCAGTTTGGCGCAGACATATGGCTCATTGATAGTGATCCAGAGTTTGACACGGTCACCAAACGTTTGGAAGCAGAACTTGGCATAGCTGTCGAACAGGTTTGCGATACTCGGAGACTTCCAGCCACCCTGGTCTTGGAGAGCTTGAGGCAGGTCAAAGTGGTAAAGTGTAACCATAGGTGACACGTTACAGGCCACCAAATCATTGATCACCTTGTTGTAATACTGCACACCTGTTGAAAACATATAGAGGACTGAAACTTAAACACTGAAAATCCATGGTGGCAATATCAGAACGTTTGAGGCAGTACCTTTTTGATTGACATGTTGCGTAGTCCCATCAGGCAGCAGGCGGGACCAGGAAAGCGAAAAGCGATAGTGTGTCAGTCCAAGCTGCCGGATACACTCCAGGTCCTTCTCCCAAAGCTCGTAGCTGTTGCAGGCGACATCTCCATTCTGGTCCCCAAACACTCTGCCTTTCTCAAGACAAAATGTGTCCCAGATACTTGGTCCCTTGCCTCCTGCCTGCCAACCACCTAGATGGGCACAAAACAACAGTTTCATTAGGAAGTCGAAGAATCACAGCATGTCTCACCTGGGAGCTTGAGTTTGTTTAGGTGTATTTTGGGGCAATTTATTCTGTTCAACAAAGAAATGCAAATTTGCTCGTCTGCATTGGTGGACCTAGGATTAAGCTCAGTTATATGGATATCACATCTAGTATGACTATTCTTTGTGTTTGTCTTCATGATTGTCATTTTTAGGAAGTTGGCACAATACTTATGTATCCTGTGGCATTTTATGCTATCTGGATCAAGTTGATGTCAAATTTAGTTTGTCAGAATGTGTTTTAGTCTTTACTGAAAAGTCTAGAAATTAGACTTTCTTCATGTTAATGTTTTAGCTTACTTCTTGAATGATTTTATTCAGTTCTACTGTTTAAGTGGGATGTTTAAATTGAAGTTGACTGAATGTAGTTATTTATTTTAAACATGAAAGAAAAGGGAGGCTGATTAAGAAAGGGAAAAAAAGGTTTTTATCTGTGACTGAAAAGCGGTGGGAACAAGTACAATTTATTTAATCCCATCCCTTTTCATCAACCAAAATTTTATTAATTCACTCCCTTGTTGATAGAGTCCTTTATAATAATTATATAATTCTAATATAATACAGGCTACCAAAAAGGTCCCAAGTTAGGATGTGTAATAAACTCTTCTACTATACACGAAAGTACATTTTCCTTGTTAATATATATTTTTTAACTCATAACACATTTGCAGTAAGATAGATGTCGATACTTTGTGTTGCTGCTATAGTTGGGTATCCTTGGAAGAGAGATGTCTGGTCTCAATTGGACTTATTTAGCTTCATAAAAGGTTGTTTTTGTTTATTTAAATGAAGATTTATGTTAAAGAAACATCCTGATGTGTGTCGACTGAATCGCATAATCTGAGACCTTTGTCGTGAGGCTGTTCAGTTGATAAAGTTGCACCAGTGCTGCTGGAAACACTGTTGCCAGTTCATCCACTTTTTGCCAAACATTAATCCACCTCTTTGTATTGAGCCACTCACCTTCGATTTGATACGCAGCCGTCGCCGCTCCCCACGCAAAGTCACGTGGGAACATGTTGGCACACTGAGTTAAAACAGTCCCACTGACATGTGCGCTTTCTGTTTCTCACAGATCCATGTGTCAGGCTCACAGAAACCTTGGATTCATGCTGGTTTTCTACTAAGGTAACGCAGCTCTGCAACCAGGAAAAGACTTGAAGATGAGGCATTTAGGGGGCGTGACGTTTGTTACGTACAGGATCCATGATAAAGTGAAGATAATACAACTCTTGGCTTTATAATGAGTGAAATAGCATGTGTGCAATGGCTGAAATATACTGAGTCGAACCACTTTGGTTACAGGGTTCAGTCTCGTGATTATTTTAAGAAAATTGTGTTTGGTATTTGGATTCTCAAATCTTCAGAGGAGGACTTGAAAGCAGCACCAGAAAGCTGCAGACCAGCGTGATTGACGCGACTTTGTAACGTCAAGGTAGATCCGAGTTTCCGGAAAGCATTTAATCTGATAAACTTTGTCATTTGTTATCTGAACAGTCTTTCACAGGGTTAATGTTCGTTTGCTTAATTTTTCAAAGTTATGGGGAAAATGTGTCCTTTAATATTCTAAAAACGACAACAACAACAACTAAAACTAGAAATCGTGAAATGTATTTCATCCTGACAGCTTTTTTTTTTTTTCATACACATCAGGCTGTGAGAGAGTGCCTGATCCGGATCGGAAAAACAGACCTTGTTTGTGTAAGTTTCTTGAAATTGCTGCATCAATTCCACTACACACAACAATGTGACATCCTGTGTGCAACAGGACAAAAGGGGTTAAAGGTTGCTCGTCAAAGTAAGTCAATCCACTCATGGTTTGATAACAAATGGACGGTGGAGGTCAAAGCATAGTCGCCTGAGGGTATGAGTTCCCTGACCTGTGATCACGTTGTTGCTATCTTTAGGTTTTTCTAAAGAATGAAGTGACCCACTTAACTTAATCATAACAAATGAGAAGGATTACTTGCCAAAGGGTGAACACATACATGAAGTGAGCAAAAATTCACATCTGAGCTTGTTGGTTTAAAGCTATGAAAGTGTTAAAATGCAAGATTCTAGAAGGAGGTCCATAAATATTGACTGTTTAATAGGGCTGGGTGATAAAACAATAACGATATATATCGAAAATTAATTTCCCTTAATATCAGTATAAAACTTGGCCAATATGCTTTTCAATATGCCATGTTTTGGTATACAATACGAATAGCCAATGAAAAGGGGAGTTGCTCCTGGTCTTCTTCGCACTGATCCAATCATGTGCTGAATTAGAACCAAGTAGCAAACAACTGTGTAGTAGCAGGCTGCAGCTACACACAACCATAGCATTTGAACACAACACATTAAGCTGACAGCACTATTGGTGAGGAAAAAAGAAAATGAGTGCTACCCCCAGCAGAAATGAAGATGAAGACTCCACAGATGACGACATCATCGACAAGACTGGCACGAAAACGTCGGTCTTGGGGGTATTTTGTTTTTTTTGAGGTCGAACATGAGGCAGAGTAATGTGTACTACAAATTATTTCAAGTACATGTTATTGTAAAGTTGGGGAAAACCTTAAATCTTTTTCGCCACCTGAAGCAGTGCCATGCGGCACAGCACGCGCAATACAAAAGGTTTCAAACCCAGAGCAGAGTAAGGAGCCCATGGCGCCTGTGCAGCTGAAACATCCGACCGTTCAGTCCGCTTTCTGTAGCGCAACGCCTTACGACAAAACGTAGACAAAGACCTCACAGATGCAGTAGATTATTGTATTGCAAAAGACATGCTACCAATAAACACTGTTAAAATTTTTTAAAATCATGATGTCTATCGATATTGGCTGATATGAAAAAAATATGTCAGGATAAACTTTTCTCATATCGCCCAACCCTACTGTGTAACTTGTTCATGCTTAAGTAGACTTACTCTGTGAATATGGTTTGTAAACTAGTCTGGTATAATTAGAAGTGTGTTATGCCCTTCATAATAAGAATAAGAATAACTTTATTAATCCCCGGAGGCAAATTGTCTGTTGTCTTACAAAATATGTCTCCAATAGTTATCTACTATTAACATAAGAGTTATAAAGTCTATTGGCTGTTGGTACAAAAGATATGCTGAATCTTTCTGTCCTGCAGCGAAGAGAGAGGAGCCAAAAACTACTACTACTATTACTACCAAAATCTACTATTATGATAGTGCTGGAGGCCATGTGTGGTCATCAAAGCTTTTGAATAAATAAATAAATAAACGATGTTCCTCCTCTGCCGAAATATCAAAGCTCCGCAACTGCTATGTGCCTTCTGCTGTGCAATGTGCACTGAGCAGCCAAAATGGGGCAAAACAATGTCGCAAAGAAGGACATATCCTTCAGGAACAGAGAAAATATAGAGGAAGAAGAGAAAAATTGCCAAGGTATGTTTGTATGTCATGGAATGTTAATCAAAGAGATTTGTTAAGGTGTGTGAATGATCAACAATCAATATTTTTGGAGAAAAATATGGGCCCCAAAATCAAATTTTGCATAGGGCCCCATTGAGGCATGAGCCGGCTCTGGGTAAGTCTTTGTCTGCCCAAAACTTTGTCATAAAAAGCTGGGTATTACAACAACGGAAGTGACAGGGGTGATCAAACGCATCAATTGGGCGCTTTATTCTGAAAGTCAAACCGGAAATGGTTTGCGTTCTTTCTTAGTTTACAACAGTGGCTGCCGGGGCAGGACCATGGGAAGAGGACTTCTCAGGGGAGTGTGAACTGCTCCAAACACTTTTATTAAGGCACAGGAGCCGAAAGAGAAATCGCAACTCTTTGGACTTAGTTGTCGTCGTTTAAGAGTTTTAAAACGCTGTTTCTTTCGAGCACTCTGAGCACATTTTACGCTGAAAATGCCTTGTTGTTAGCGCTTTTGTGTCTCTTTTTTGAGCAATTTCCTGTCGGTGCTGGGAAAGAGGAGAGGGGGGAAAGTTTCCTACCTCTCATTTAGTCTTCTACTCAGTCCAAAGTGCTGGAACCTGAAAGTGAGTGTTTGAGGAAAAACCTTACTATTTTGTTCTGAACTTACTGTGGATACAATGAGATTACTGCAGTCGCCTCCTGTGGAAAAGACAACACTGTGAATCGGTCCCACGCTAGGAGCAACAAAGGAAACCTCTCAACAACTGGATAAGTTATTTACTCCCGAGCTAGCATGCGCAGCGTGTAAAGACGGAGGAATTGAAGAAAATGAGCAGGAAGAAGGAATTATAAATGAATCGTTTGCCAACAAAGAAAGGGACCCCTTTCTGCCAGACTGAGCCAAAGGAAAGCTTTGCTAGAAATGGAGGAGGAAGGCTCACTTGAGCCAAACAAGATGCTGGAAAAGGGGCTTGGATTTACGGTATATTTTGTATAACAGAGCTGCTTAGTGTTTGGTGAAAATATCCGCCCTGTTTACTATCAAAACATTCATTTCTCTGCCAATGCTGCAGCGGTTCTGTGGTCGTGTGTGAAAATGAGGGTGGATCTGTTGCAGTTGTTTGTGGTTTTGCTGCTCTGTGGCGGCGCTGGCTCGGCGGTATCATCTGATTGCAAATCATATGATGAACGCCCGAAAAGCGGTGGGAAAAGCCCGCAGTCCGACAGGAAGGTGGTGTGCAGCAACATGGAGCTCCATCAGGTGTTACCTCCGGACTCCTTCCCCAACAGGACGGTCACACTGTAAGTATAAATGCATTTACACTCCTAAGAGTCAGGGTAAACATGTCCTGATGATGTGAATCTTGTGACAAGAACCACTTCTCTTACTCTGTCTTATTAATTCTGCCTTTAAGTCCAGATTCCAACTTGCTAAAAGTCAGAAATTCAACGCCATGCATCCTGTGTACTTGTGCTTTGTGGAGGTGGTGGTGAGTGATGGGGGGAAATCTGAGAATACCAGGGCAGGGTGCAAGAGCAGAAAGCAAATAATAGACTCCAGGGAGGGAAAGAAAGGGGGAAGATTGTCTGGTAAGTTAAGTGGGTGTACATGTTTTAACCTGTTTACCACAAATCACATGCACAGAGCTTTAAAGCTCTTCCAAAGTCATATTTATAGATTTAAAATACTTAATCACAGAGATCTGGATTGGATTCACTTAAAAATCTTTAAATTGATGACACATCTTTAGCTTTATTTTTCATGAGTTCTGCTATTGTTGCAATTTCTTAATGGGAATACAAAAAATCAAGTTAAGACTCAAGTTTAGGTTTAAGTTCCTGATCATTCAACTCTGTGACCACACACAGGCCTATAATCTACCTTCCCGTCTGTCATTAATCCATCCTTACCAGTTATATTCAGTCAGGCATCTACCTTATGATCTTTATGATCCATACATCAACCCATCAAGCGCTACCTGATGCAGCTGGACTAAGCTGTGATTGGTCAAACCTAGGGTACACCTCAGACCAACCTCGAGTCTAACAAGTATCCCATCATCCTGAGTAGGTATTCGCAACAGTTGCCAGTTTTTCTGTCTGGATTGCAGTTCTTAAAAAAAATAAGTGTTTTGTACCTATGAGAAGTTTTTTGTTTTGGAGTTGGCCTTGTTTTCTTGAACCAGGGAGCACTCTAAAGTCATCAAGCAAGCCTTCAAACTTGTCCTTGTGTTTGCCATGTCTGAATGTCGTCAGCGAGTTTGGAGTCTGTCATTTTGTTGCGACAGTGATGGATTGGAGGTTGAGCCAGGTTTACTCATGATTTAGCATTCAGCTGAAAAAGAAAGACTGGGAACATGAAGGATGGCCTCCTCTGGGGTACAAGCAAGATATAATTAGAGAGCACAGACAGACGTCACTGCAACTCTGGAATGTTTTTCCTGTCTCCTCTTCTGTATCTCTGGATGTTTGTTGTCATCTATTCGTGGGGAATGCTCACTATAAAATAAAACTACCTTTCTATAGAGAGATACAGAAATTGATTGAAAGAAAAATAGTTTGAGGCAAAGTATTTGTGTGGCAGATTAAACGATTCAGTAATTTTGCAAGCAGTATGTGAAGAAAAAGCTGGTTTCTGCTTCTTGAATGTGAGGTTATACTGCTTGTTGTGGTCTTCTGAATGAGACTTTAAGCTCTTTTTTTGTCAAACCCACAATTGACGACATTGCTTTGGGCTACTGGATGTTTTGAAACTTTATAACTATTTATTTTTTGTTTTAGAAAAGGACATGGAGTGTCAACAATTGACTAAACAACCATCCAGTTCATTTCCAAGTCAGTTGGGGCCCTACTGGACTACATGCAAGTTTTTGAGAGTTAATTTATGACCCTGAAAATCAGCTAACCCACTCCCGAGGTTAGGTGGTCCTCTTTTATGGCCCTCCCAGTTCCCTGTGGTGGGGTTGAGCGGGGTCTGGACACAGCTGGTCTGGTCTATAATAAAATGAAGCAGGGCTCTGAGCTGCTACAAGAAACCTGCCTCAGCCTGGAAGTTTGCCCTGAATTATTTTACCATGTTTTGCGAATCCTGCTGCGGTTTTCTAGCTAACTGGGCACATGAGAATATCCTCTGTAAGGATAGATGGTATGTCGTTAATGTTTGGAGGCCTTGTTTTGTGTGTAAGTAGAAGGCCTTGGTGTGATTGAAGACCTATTGGCTCATCGTTATTCCCCACTCCCCTTTGAGATTTCCTGTTTAAGAGGCCTAGATTCCAGTGTTTAAAGGAAAGCTGTTATTGAGTTGAACCAGAAGATTGTTTCTTAACTAACTCTGAGACAGCATGAAACTTCTTGAACCTTAGATAATTGTATTTACTCTGTGCCAGATTATAAACCCCAGATACTCTCAAGTAATTGCTCCCAAAGTTACCTCCTCCTTCATTTTAGCCATTCCTGCCTATTAATTGGCCAGAATTGAATATTTTCTGGTTTGGGTTTACTCATAGAGGTATTTTGCACTAAAACCCAAGAGAAAAAATGGGCGATGCATTCCCCGCATTTGTGCTCTCCAAATGATACCACATGCCAAAGTAATCTGAGAGGAAATGACACAAATGTGTTTACAGCTGGCCTGTTCTCCCCTGTCAGTGTAGGCCGCAGCTAAAACTCCAGGGCTTGAGCTTTACTATGCATGGAGGGATAAATCAGGTTGTGTGAGCAGCAGTCTGTATGGGTGTGTACATGAGCGTTTATTTCTGTGTTCCTGTGTTCATACTTAGCAGACAGGAACAGCCTATATTTAACCCTTCTGTACTCACTCAGCTCATATTTCTCTTTCCAGAGCTGGTTGAGTGTAATCAGGATCCATTCACAAGAACACCTGGGTTGGACAGAGCAAATAAGCGCACCTGGTTTCAGCCCCCACAGAGCAGGGCAGAGCAGAGCGGTCCAAGATTAATGTCAGGAAGAAAGCAGGGATTTCCTCCCTCGCTGCAGGAAAAGCTTGCACAGTTTGATGACACGCTGGAGTGCAGTTAACTGTCGCGTTTCACAGCAGTGCGAAGTGAAAGCTAGGGTTACATTTTGAGTTGTTTTCTTGAGCCTTCACTTCCTAAAGGCAAGGCCTGTGGAAGTGATTTACTTTGGTTTTCAAAATGTCCCTTGATGAACCCTGCAATGGGAACAAGGCTGACAGTGTCTGCACCGATATATTTGCAAACTGGGAGTGTTTTAAAATACTTACAAGGGTGTCCCAATACAGCTTTTTTACTTCCAATATGATACCGATATTGTAGCCTTTAGTATTGGCCGATTCCAATACTGATCCGATATTGGCACAAACTTGCGCATGACAAGTTTTGCACTCAGCTGCAATGTCTTTTCGGACTTAAGCGAAAAATACTGCCACACAGCTGACATCACTCTCACTCCTTGCTACATTGTTATTACCTCAGTTCACTGTTGTTGTGATCACGTGGGCTCTGCCTGCTGGATCTGGGCGCTGCTAGCTCGAGGTGCCGGAGAGGAGTCTGGAATGGACTGCTTTTATCGGAGTGCTGATATCGGAGATTTTAGATGCAAGCTGATACAATTTGATATTTTTTTTGTGGCTGATATTGGACTGATATCCAAAACCAATATTGTATCAGGACAGCCCTAATACTTACCATACTGAGAAGCTGGACAATCTAAGCGTAGGGCTGGGCGAAAAAACGATAACGATATATATCCAAAATTAATTTCCCTCAATATCAATATAAAACATGGTCAATATGCTTTTCAGTCATCTGCATTCTGCCATGTTTTGGTAGACTACACTCTTAGCCAATGAAAAGGGGAGTTTCTCCGGGTCTACTTCGCACTGAACCAATCATGTGCTGAATGAGAACCAAGTAGCAAACAACCGGTAGTAGTAGGCTGCAGCTACATGCAGCCATAGCACTTTAACAGTGCAACTCCTTACGACAAAACGTCGAAGAGACACAAAGATTTCACAGATGCAGTAGCTTATTGTATTGCAGAAGACATGCTATCAGTAAGCACAGCTAAATTTCATTTTTATATTGTGATATATCGATATCGACTGATATGGGAAAAACTACATTGTGATAAATTTTTCCCATATTGCCCAGTCCTATCTAAGTGTAAAGGTTGTTTAATAAAGGAGTAGTATTAATAAAAGCATCGAAGTAGTAAAGATTGTGGATTGATTTGATGTGATGTCTCAAATAATGAAGTGGCAGACAGAAATGAGGGATTAAGCTCAGTGTTTCCTCTCTAAATTGACGTGTCTACGAAGGAGTCTATTATTTTACAGCCTGTAATGCAATGAGATATTAAACCAATGACAAAATCAATATAAAAACTGAAGGCTTAGCTTTCTGCTCTCAAAAGGCACAAGTTTCTGACTATTATACTTCTCATTTCAGATCTATTTATACAGGAGCACACGTCTGCCCTGAGGGAACCTGCTTCCAAGGGGTTAAGAACTCACTGTAAATACAGACACGTTACTGCGGGACACACCAGTCTATATGTCAGTCATCTCGTCTATTTATTCTTCCCAGCATTAAAAGCTACCGGGCTATGCAGGGAGCCTTTGATCTGCTTTTGTAACCAGACCACAGTTGCCTGCTGTCATGCATGTCGTGAGAGGATTTGTTCTTGTTGCTTTTCAGACGAGCCGCTGCTCTAAAGCAAGCCTCTTGTGTTATTCATTGTAGCTCTGCAGCGTTTGCAGAAGAAAGCAGGATAAGACGAGGCACTGACAGCTGCAAATGAAGTCAGTTTGCAGTTTTTTTTCTTCTTTCACAGACAGACCTGTTGAGCTTTCGCTTTGCCAGGTTGCTGCAGGTCTCATTTAATCCCAGGCCAGCATTTTGGTTTAGCGTGCAGACATGAGCTAAGGCAGAGCATGCCTCTCCGTCTGTGTTAATTTTACCCCTCATCTGCTGTTATCCTGGTGTTTGCATGGTGGATCATTTGCTATTAAAGATGAAAGCCGTTAGCTGAATGGTTTGCCTTGTTGGTAGGATGATGAAAGAGGATATTGCACTGTCTCATCTGAGTGCTACAAGAATGAACAGGCAGAAAAAGCTTAATAAACAGACGCTTACCTTATAATTATTACCCTTTTCAGCTTGATGTCATGCAAGTAAATCTCTTTAAAGGACTAGATATTACCAGATAGCAAAGTATAATTCAATAATTACTGATACTGGTACCCTGTTTGTTCTCTGTACTAATTTTGCACAATTTGGGTTTTACAAAAAGTACTCCAGCGGCGATCAAAAAACATATATGCTCTGTCAGGTTCCACATGTTAGCCCCAGTACATGCAGAACAGAATTCGTGATGCAACATTTTCCACCTGTCAAATCCAAAAACTGCAGAAAATTCGTCATATTTGGATCGTTTCTGGATCGAAGTGTCTCGGATAAAAAAACTCGAACTATCTTGGCAAGTCACCGCACCTCAGCTATTGGACCAGTTCCTTCTTTCCACCTGAGCTAAGGCCCACTTTTCCATCGAGTATATTCAGAGGAAGTCACTCTAGAAGGGTTTTTATGAGCTCAACTGCGGCCTGAAACTTATTTGAAAGCCTGCCGGAGAGTTACAGCTATCTGCTCTGGGGAGTTTCTGGTCTAAAAGCCTCCTGAGCTTTAAGAAAGTGTTTAGACTTGGCTTTGTCCTTTAAAGTGATATACTATATGTGTGGGGGGGAGGCAGTGGTTGGCCATTTCTAGTGCTCGTATAGCCAGAGGCATACGCTTTCGCAGGAGGTGTATTTTCTTAAGTGAAAGAGAAAGTGGGACTTCCCTAGATAGTGTCAAAATTTATTCACTTTGAAGACGATGTGAAATCTAGGCCAATGCATTTTATATGAAGTTGTGACTCATGTTAGAAATTCTTGTTTTAGACTCAGCTTTTTCCACAGAGGTGGCTTAGATTTATAGCATCAGTATCAGGGGACAGGATGTGAGATTTTGTTGGATCCCCCTGAAGCTTGTTCCTGGCTTGAGCTAAAGCAGGTCTTATCTATGCATCAAGATAAGAGAGACTCCCCCTGTGCGGTTGTTTGGGGCCTCGCCTTAAGAAATTCCTCAGACAGTTCCTCAGCTGGGAGACCTCAGGCCAACGTCCAGGGACAGACAGTCAGGAAGCGGACTGTCTGGGTGTAGACGTCCTGAGGGCGGTGGAGATGCTGCTGGTGAAATGATCGCCCATTTTTCCTACGTGTTTATTGCTTGAAGACACTGGGGTATTTCAAACTAATCAAAGCGTAGAGCAGACTCAAATTGCTGCCTCAGGAGTTTCCAACAAACTAAGGTCACACTCCTGTCATGAGAAAGAAGTGAGGGGCTAAGATGGGGGGGATGGTAAAAGAGCAACGTGACTCAACATATAACTCTCTTTCACGGATTTGTTTTGATGACCCATGAAGTCACAAGTCTGGAAATGTGCATTTGCTCAGACAGACTAGTGAATCTCTACATACACTCGTGTATTATGTAAACATAATTTTAAAACTTTCCATGGAGTTGAAAAGCCTGGACACAACATTAGATGTTGGTGCAAGGATCTACTTGTGATGTCAAATTGACCCTAAAAATCCAATTGCCTTGGTCGGCCCTCTTAAACTTGGAGAATCAGTCTCCAGTCCTGTCAGTTTACAATTGGAATCTTTGTGTTATTTAAGGCATTTCCGCTGACTCTATGTGATATGAGGGGTGGGAATCACCAGTGGCCCCACGATACGATATTATCACGATACTTGGGCCACGATAAGTTATTATTGCGATTTTTAACATTTTGCGATACAGTGAGTATTGCGATTCAATATATTGCGATTTATACAATTTTTTCAACTGTTTAGCTAATTAAGCATGTGTCTTTCCTTTATGGTTGTCTTATTTACGCAGTGTTTTATTTCCATGTAGCAATAACAATAAATTTGAAAAAATCAATTCCTGGTAAATGAGACGATATGATATAGACAAAATATTGCGATACTGTACTGTATCGATTTTTTCCTCCAACACCTATGTGATATGAGGTGATTTAAGAATTGTGGTTCTTCATAGAAAATTTGGCTTTTGTAATCACAATCTTTGGAGTCCCAGACTATGTAAACAGGCAGTGTTAAAACTAGCGGCTTTGTACATCACTGAGTTTTAACATCTGCAGTTTCAGCATCCAGAAGCCTGCAAAACATGGTCTTGCAAACACACAGGCACTGTTTGTGTGCGCACTCTCCCTTAGAGGCAATGAGCCAAGCTGCAAATCTCCAATGAGCCTTCACCGTCCAACCCTGTAATAAAACAACCCCTCAACACCCCATAATGACTCCAATCTGGCCTCGAGTTGTGGGTGCCACTAGCATGTATGTCACCCACCACATCCCCTTTTTGAGACCCGGTTGGCCAGAAACACATGCTTACCACAAGCCCCAACTTGGATGTTTTTTTTTTTTTTTGCTTGCTAGGAGTTAACAGTGCTGTTGGTTTGCCAGACCCTCATGGACCAGTTTAGGAGGAAGACGGGAACCCGCATGGAGTTGGCTGAAGAAAGTGGAGTGTTAATTTGCAGCGTGTATAAACTGAATCAGCTTGTGCAATATACAAGGGGAATAAACGGGACTGTAAAAACTGGTTTACTGCCCAGAGAGGAAGCAATTAAGAATTCACACTTGAAATTGAATGTTTTCTCAAGCTCACTTTTATTTTTGTGCTGTTATCGTTGGACAGTGATAGGAAATATGCCCGGGTTTAATTAAAGAGCGCCACAAATATCTGGCCACCAGTGCCTCTTTTTAATTTCAGACCATAACACATGATGTCTGCATTTTGGAGTTAAACAGATGAAATATTGATACATTTCTAAAAAATGTTGTGTAGGATTTTGTCAGCTGTAAATGATAAAACATTGTCAGTTAAACAAAGTATAAATATTAAATGACTGAAATGACTTTGTGCCTAGAATGATTAAGCTCTGAAAGGACATTTAGATGAAAAACAATCTTTTATTGAATTATAACAAAACAACTCCGACTCCAGTGTGGATCTGTCTGCTTCACTTTCATTAGGTCAGACAGATGTTAAAGCTTTTAGCAAGAACTGTTGGCAGTTGCCCTTTAGCCATGCAATGTTTCAAGGGAGTTCAGTCATATCATAACAATACTTGTATACATCCCACCTAAGGCAACGGCTGAAGTTCCATGTGATGTTTTCCGTTATACTGCTGCTAGGATACAGATTCAACATCCTGAGGCACTTGTAATAATATCAGGAGGCTTCAACCTTGTCACCCTCTCCTCACTGGTTGTCAGCTGTCCTACCAGAGGAAACAAAACCCTGGATCTGCTGTATACTAATGTCTAAGAAACTAACAGAGCTACTGCCTTACCACAGTAAGCAGATCTGAACATAACTTGGTTAATCTGGAGTTTATCTGAGATTCCAGATACATGAATTTTCCACTGGGGATAAATTAAGTTTTTGAAATCTATGCTATTTGTTGCGGTTGACATTCCTCATGTCTAGATATTACTTGGGTATGAGGGTCAATGCTGCGTTCCATTTTACTATTTTGTACCTTGAACGTTGTTACTACATTGTTTGAGCCTGACTTGTGGTTTACTGTTGCCAAAATATTTCCACTCTGCTAATTTATTCCCACGGGGGCTGTAAATGATCATACTCTTTAAGCGATTTGACATTTTCCTCCCATCTTGGAGGTGTGCCTGGATGGGAACTGTGTCTCAGACTTGGAATTTAAAAATAAAGGTGTATCTTTAAAGATGAAAAGGATTTATGTTAAGCCAGGGTTTGCTGTAAATAGAACTAAACGGATCATTTCTCTTCACACAACCTCCACCTGCTTTTCTATTCCCTAGAGCCAAAAGCATGTACAGTACGTATGCAGTGGTTACGAAAATCTCCAATTGTGTCACAGCTGCTGCAAATCAAACTGCTTTTTGTTTACCTCTAAAAGTCAAACCTGTTTCACACACGAGTTGCACCTTATCTCAGTCTGGCTGAGTCTCTCAAGCACTCTGATGCTGCCAATTAAACATGAAAGAAACGACTCGGCTCATGCTCAAGTTTTTTTCTCTTCTGATCTCTTTCTGGCTGCGGTAAACATTTTGTGACTGGAAGCTAAGAGTGGCGAGAGGACAAAGAGTGAGCGTTATATCATTATCCATCAACAAGTTGCAGTATGGCACTGTTCCACTTGTTGAAAAAGACACTAGACCCTTTTTCCAGTCCTCTTTCACAATTTCATTAGCTCACATTCCTTGCTGATGTCCTGAGTGCTGTGGCTGATTCTATTTGTGACTGGTTATTTGGCACACATTCAGTGGAGGTCAGTATTAGACTGGTCTGACTGTGATAAGTCGACAATAACACTCACTGTTCCATGCAAGAGGAAGTATCTCTAATGTGAAATTTCTGTTATTTTTGTTGTTGCTTTTGCATTTATGTATTTTTTTTTTCTTCTCTCCACAGAATTTTAAACAACAATAAGATTCAAGAACTCAAAAATGGATCCTTCTTTGGGTTACTCACTTTGGAAAAATTGTAAGTGTATTTCTTTTTTTTGCATTTCTGGTAGTCTGTGTCAATGTAACACAAACTTTAACATTAAAATGTGTGTTTTGATGACCAATCATAGCCTCTCAAAAAAACCTGTCGTGGTTTGAATCATAGACTGTATATAGAATGGACGCCGTCTTTCTCCTCGCTGGGTGAATCCACAGCGAGAACAGCACCCTCTGGTGATGGGCTGCAGTTTAGGTCATAGATCACGTGCAGCTCCATTTTTAAAACTTATCGGGGGTTCATGTTTTAAATGATTGACACTTGGTAAAGCCTAAGAGCATACGAAGATTGTGTAGCTCACCCAGGGGATATACTATTTAAACTGAGCATCATCCCAGCGACTCTCCTACTGAATGCGTACAACGCTATTGCGCAAAGTTGGTTTCAGGAAGTGGAGGAAAAAACCCGAAATACAGAGAGCTTTTTGGCTTCAAATATGTACTGGCGGAAGGCGGAACAAAGTTTTCCGTAGTATATACAATCTATGGTTTGAACACATGATGTTCATCATCATTTTGAGGATGCATTAAGTAAGGATAATAAATTATAGAGTTTCTAGAATCAAATATTTTCACAGTACTTGTGTTTTAATGACGAGTGCATTAGCCGAAACCATCCATTGAGCCACAAGTGGAGCTGGGAGTGGGAGTTTGGTTCAAAAACACACATATTGGCTTAGAGCCAGTGGATCATCCAGGTCATAGAAAATGTGAAAGCATACACACAGCACTTAACCTCAGACAAGAATACTAGGCTACGAAGGAAGACCAGAGATGGTACTAGAAAAGCTAATTATAGGTGTAGCCCTGAGGGTTTGTTGTTGCCTGCCTGGTGGTGACATAGTCTCAACATACAGCTGCCTGGGTTTTCTGAGGATGGGGCCCGATTTAGAGGGGTATTATATACATGAGCTCATAGCTTTTAGAAGATGGTGTAGGCTGTGAGGACTTCGTCTTACAGGGTAAACATTGACCAACAATTGAGATATCAAGGAAACAAGATCTTTTATTGGTGTGTAGGGGTGTTGTCTGAGATTCCTGGGACGATTGAGAGAGAGTTCATTCATGCCATATGACTAACTTTAGGAACTGGAATGTCATCATCTGTGCTTCCTACAGAGATTTCAGCTAAATGGCTTCTGGCCTGCACATATGCGCATGTGGGTGATTTATCGCTCTGGAATGGCTTCATGCAGATAAAATAACCAGACCATTAATGGTCCTGCTTTTACCCAAGGCTACGATAACACATGACTGACTTGATGTGGAATTCGAGGGGCATGTATCACGTATCATTCATCCCGGTCTGGTTAAAAAGACAAGAAATATTTAAGGTATAAAAGGTTGAATAAGCCTCATTGAGCCTGAGGTCAGAAAGAAGATTTAGGTTTCCATTTTTTTTCTTTGAACTGTGATTGATTCAAATTTCTTTGATTGCAGAAGCAGCTTTTAAAAAAGTTTCCCTCTTCCTCTTTAAGGCCACGTTTGCTTAAAAAATATAAAGATTGTCAAATTTCTACACATTTTTAAAGCTCCTGTGAGGATTTTTTAAAGTTATGTAACTCACTGAAATGAGTAATGATGCCTCCGCAGATAAATCCAGACCATGTGCATAAAAACGGATAATTCAGTTATTAGTTATTAGACAAATTCAGCAAAGAAGGACAAAAAATTTCCCATGGGAGCTTTAAGTCAGTTACGGCTTTCAGCCCGAGGTTGAAAAAGAAGAGACTGAGAGACTTAGTGTAATAAAATACTCGAGCCAACCACTTTGGAAATATCCCAGAGCAGAGCGCCTTAAATTTTCTGAAAATTTCAAGAGTGCAATTTGGAAAGAGGCTCGTTTCTGTCAATTCTGAGTAGAAACCACTTCCATTCCTCTTTTTATTTTGTGGTCAGTTGGTTGTGTAAAACTGTCTAGGTTGATTTTCTCTGCTACACTCATGTTTTAATTTGGAGACCTTCAGATGCCTGATTGTTTATGGATCTGAAGGAGTACTCCCCGTGGGCTCTTGAATTGGGTCAGATGTGAGTTTTTGGAGCTCAGGGCCTGCAAGATAAACAGGAGGTTGTGTGCTGAATATGTAAAGAAAGGAGGCTTTGATCTTCCTCCACCACTTTATATGCTTTGTCTGTGAGTGGCCTGTCGATGTGGTTGTAAACTTCCCTCTGCCTGTCATTGCATCAATCCACAGGCGAGTTTACCTCCAAAAGCAGCTCCCTTTGTGCCCTGCAGGCCCCGCCCACCTCCTGTCCACCCTCAACCAGTGAAGCGAGATCGCTACACGGCTTGCTTGCTTTTGTCATTGTAATGAGGCCAAGCCAAGGCCAGAGGTGTCAGCAGTACGATCCCCAAACACACTCTGCATGCTGAAGCCTCTCTTTCCCTTCCAGTGCCTCCCCCTCCTTCCCTCCCCCTTCCCTTGAATCACACTCCCCCTTTTCTCCCCAAACTCTAGAGCAACTCTGAATGCTCTCTCCATTTTGCTTACCCTCTCTACCTCCTCTCTCCTCCACAAAGAAACGCTCCTTCATTTGGACTGCCTGTGTGCAGTGGTGAAGCCTTAGACAGCAGCTGGCTGTGAGTTGCCAGAGAGAAGTGGGAAGAGAATCGATTACGCCTATCTGGCACTCTGCATGAAATTGTAAAGTAACTGTGGAGACCGCTGTGTTTTGTCAGGGCCAAAGGTGCCCCTGCTTGGAAATAAGCCACACAGAATCCCCCATTATCACTCTCCTCATAGAAATTGGAGCCAAGCTAGGCGGGCGTCACATGCTAATTCCTGACTAAATCCACTGCTGTGGAGGAATGCTTATTGTGGAAAACAGAGGCGGGATAACGGCTGCAGTGAGAGATGGATTCTCAGGAATAGCTTGTCGTCTATTCATGAGAAGCATAACATAAGTGGAAGTATGCACGAAAGCAATTTAAGCAAAAATAACCTTAACGTTAAATGTAACAAATTTATTATTATTTTTTTTTTACAAGGAAACATTGTTCACCTGCAAATAGGGGTGTCCCAATACAACTTTTTTACTTCCAATACAATACCGATATTGTAGCCTTCAATATTGGGCGATACCGATATTAATCCGATATTGGCACAAACGTGTGCATGACAAGTTTTGCATTCAGCTTCAATGTCCTTTTCGGACTTAAACAAAAAATACTGCCACAAGGCTGACATCACTCCTACTCCTTGCTACTTTGTTCGGCTGATATCATCCGATAATTGTTTTTTGGCTGATATTGGATCGATATCAATATCCTATCGGGACAGCCCTAAAACTTACCATACTGAGAAGCTGTAGTCAAAGCGTAAAGGTTGTTTATTAAAGGAGTAGCAGTGTAGACTGCTTGTATTGGAGTGCTGATATCGGAAATTTTGAATGCAGTCCGATATAATCCGACATATATATATATATATATATATATATATATATATATATATATATATATATATATATATATATATATATATATATACAGTATATATTTATTTATTTATTTATATATATTGTCTTTTTTTTTTTTTTTTTTTTTGGTGCTATTGGATCGATATCAACATTGTATCAGGGCACCCCTACCTGCAAACTCTTCAACCTCTTTAGTCTTTTCAAATGCTGTTTATTCTGCATTCATTTTCCTTTTTTGAAGCAGCGTCAGTGAATCACAAGTTAGTACTCTGAGAAGTCACATAGTCGGCCATGCCAAGCAGGAAGTTTATCAAACTAAGTAGAGCATGAAGTCACCAATCTTTGAGTTCAGCTGGAGGTTTATTTAACACCTTCAGCTGCACTCTCTTTTGATTAAATATGCCTATCATGCCAAGAAGCTTCAACTAGAATAAGATGCCAAAAAATACTGTGAGTAAAGGATATAATGTCTTCAAAATAAAACATTTGGGTCCATCTAAATGGCACCAGCTGCAAAACCAGCCTTTGGTTTGAGGCCAGTTAAAGATCAGTCCTGGATCCCAGTGAGGAAACCTCAGCCAGCTATTTCAATTAGGGGCATGTTGAGAAAACCTGGCATGTTGTTCTCTGTAAATAGGTTTAAAAGATGCCAGGTCATGCGTGGTGAGGTTTTTTTTGGGGGAATTTGCAGTGAAGTTATAGATGACTGAACACAGACTGGTTCTCTTGGACTCCCCATTCTGTCCTGTAGTGATCCAAAATCTGAGAGCTGCAGTGTGTACTGTTTTGTCATGAGTGGCTTGGATGGTTGGATTTTTACAACTACCAGGCATTACTGTTAAAGAAATTCACCCTTTGGAATCAGTTAAGGCTTCTTTAAATACTTTTCTAACATAGAAATTGATCATGTGTCTTTGGTCAAAAGTCCATGAACGAGTGCTCTTTCTTTGATGGGCAGGTTTTCTGTGTATTTGACTCATAGTTGCTTGCTTGCACAGTTAATTCATATTCCTTTGTCCCGTCCTTTCATTTCTCTGTCAACACTTCTTCACAGAGGGCCTGCTAGCTCACATCAAAAGCTCCAATGAGCAATAGTTTTTGTCTCTGACTTATCTATGACCACCTACCTACCCACCTTTAGATGACAGGTCCTCTACATCAAACGGGCAGAGTTACCCAAAGGCCCTTTGTGTGGGTTCAGGTGCTGACTAGAAAGCCTCAGCTGTAATGAATGACTCGACAGTGCCAGCACAGGTGAGCACCGCAGGAATTTTTTTTTGTTCGACCACAAGCCTTTGAACTTCAGGACAGAGGAGTCTGAGTGCATCTTTGTGTGAGAGCTTGAGAGGATCTTTGAGGGCCAGGTTGTCGGATGCAGCAGCTGCGAATGCATGTATATGCAAGATCGTCATAAACAGTATCATTATGTTCAAATGGGAGTAATCCAAGTCTTAAAAAGCCACTTTTACTTCCGGCTTTCTTGTAGAAATAATAACTTGACTTGTCTAATGTTTGATGTTTGGCAGCTGTTACTGGGTGGTTGAGTGGGCCAAGTCTCAATCAAAAGGTTGGAGATGCAATCCTAGCTCCTGCTGTTTGATGCTGATGTCCTTGGGCAAGACATTGAACCCTCAGTTGCTTCTCATAACATAGTCAGTGGTGTGTAAAAGTATATGAATGGGATTCCTTAATACTCACAGCCCTCTACTGTAGCATGGATTTCCATCAGTGTAGAAATGTGGTGTGAAAGAGACAGTGTGTAGTATAAAAGGGCTTTGAGAGGAGGGAAAGACGAGGAAAGCATTACATATACATGCGAATGGATCATGAATTAACCTTTTTTTGTAGTTCCTTTTCTAAATATTTAACTCTTTACATTTCCCACATTAATGTCGATAAAAACAAGAAAGAACCAAAGCGAAGCCAGAAGGAGACAATAAAGCAATTTTTTTATCATGTGTGATATCTGACAGTCATTGAGGACTTTAAAAACTTGGGGTGGTAACTTAAATATAAACTTTTATTTCTATTATTTTTTTCGTTCTCGTCAGAAGTTAGGGAAGAATTTAAAATCTACAGAAAGTTTGAAATATAGTGAGCTAGTGGTTATGCTGAGCCAAATCCTGACAGGGTGAGCGGTGATCCAATCCGCATAACCACCCGCTCACTGTGACTTATCCTGCTTATTTGACCCACAACCAACTACAGACATAAACAGCTTAACACCAGATATTGAATCAATAATGATTTTGATTTATTCACTCAGCGAAAACATTGTCCTTCAGATCTACGACTGAAGGCAGCAGTATTTTTTTATGACTTGCTTGCTTGTCGGCTGAATTAACTTTAACTTTAATTTTACATTTTATTACATATTTCCTTTTGTTGTCAACTGTTAGTATATTTAATTCAAAGGAACCATGACTTCAAACATGTTTTAAAGCAGAGTTTAGAATTTTTTGCCATCAAAACCTAAAACTCTGATATTTGTTTTCAAACATCTGGGTCTGTTTAACTAGGATCCCTGTCCACCATACATAGAATACTTATTTTATCCTTATATAATACAAGTGTGGGTGATTTTGATGCTATAAGAAGTGAAATCTTCCATTTTAACCTTAAAAGTTGCTTCAATTACAAGCTTGAGTGTTATCTTTAAGAACCTAATGATAGACTCCTGCTGTTTTGTTGCTGTTTGAATCACTCCTGACCTAAAACTCTCTTTTTTCCCCCCTCAGGGACCTGCGGAGTAACATGATCAGTCGTATTGAACCCGATGCTTTCCTCGGATTGACAGCGCTCAAAAGACTGTGAGTAGTTGTGTTGCTCCTGCTTGTCTTTATATGGTTCGGAAGTTGTGTGTGCTCTACATTTGCTCACTGAGCCTTTTCTGGATTTGAATTGGGTGTTTTTTTTTTTATTTTTTTATTTATCAGTGACAAGTGTGACTCTAAATCAGAGTTCTTTTCAAGATAGTTTGAAGTGGAGGAAACCCTGGTGCTTCATTTGTCTTCTTAAAAATGTGGTTAAGGCAATTTTCTTTTTGGAATTTAAATTGGTAGATCTCATTTATTTTTTTTGCCTTCAGCGATTTCCCTGGTTTTAAATATTGTGTTTAAAGCAGCTGTTGCTTTGTATCTGTCTGCGCAATGTGCCGTGCATGCTCTAGCAGGTCTAGAGTGTATCCAGTGTCCATAAGGGAGCACGGTCAAGCAGCAGTCTATTTCTATGGCCTTGTTTTATCTGGCCCACTTCCAGGGACCACTGCAGACAGTATGAGGCCTTATATTTCACACTCTCAGAAAAAAAAGCAGACTGTGTATCAATGTGTGGATGTCAAATATCATGTGATGGGAATTTTGCTGAGAGAACACATCGCTAGATGATATCTGGGGGAAGATGTGAGTGTATAGTTGTGTGTTTCTGTGTTTGTGTGAGAACAAGAACACGGCGGGAATTGGAATCACCAGACAGCAGCCGGACTCTGCCAACACAAACTGGAGCTTGGCTGCTGCTGTGGAGCAATAAGAGCGAGACAGGAAGGCAGTCGTCGCCTTGGCTGAGACCCCGCCTCATTTTCCCAGCAACCCCTGCTTCTCATCAATGCAGAATACCACATTCATACCTGCGTATATGTCCTCTACATATAAAAATCATTACACTTTCACTCACCCCTTCATAAAGAGGGATCTGTTACTGAGCGTGAATGCACAGCCTCAGTGAAGTGGATTATTGCCGAAGGGTAACAGGGTTTAATTAGCCCCACCACCACCCGGCTCGGTCAATATCAAAGGGTGGTTTCACTCACTCAGCTATAAAAAGGAGGAACTGAGAAAGGAGGAGAAGAGAGGGAGATGATGAGACGAGGTCGGCCCTGGGAATGTAAACAGAGGAACCATGGGTGAAGAGTTGGCATCAAATGCTGCACATCAACCTAACATTTTTTCACCAGTTTTCGCAAATGTTTCTCTGCCTTTTTATTTTCAGGGTATCTGTGGGGTCTGAAAAAGTCTCAAAGCGTCTAAAGTCCATTCATTTGAATTGAAATCTCCAAAGTTGTTTTAAATACGTTTTTAAAAGACCTTAAAAATGTTTAACATTACTTAAAAATAAATAATGTGTCATACAAATAAAGACTGATTTGAAGTTATGGTCTTAAATAGTATTTAAAAAGTCTAAAATCCAATCATTTGAATTTAAGGTCTTAAAGTGTCAAAACCTCTCTTAAAATCTCAAAGACTGTCTTAAACACATTTTTTAAAAGGTCTTAAAATGTATAAACGTTCCTTAAAAATAAATAACGTGCCAAACAAATAAAGATTGATTAGAAGTTTTGGTCTTAAAAGTCTTAAATTTGACTTGTTTAAACCTGTAGAGACCCTGTCTTTTCATAGTTTAATTTTTGAGCTTCATTTTTTAGTTGTTCTTGTTTCCATTTTGAGGTCGTCTTTATCTGGTTTGCCTTTTCACACAGCGTTAACTTGAAATTGAAAAGAATAGGTCAGGAATATGAGGTTGTAAACGCCATGTACATGAGGCACGGTTTGAGCTGATTTTGTTGTAGTTAGCGAAAGTAGTGTGTCAGTTTCTATATCCTGAAAAGTTCTCTACTCAGTTCAACCTTCACATATATAATGACATAAAAAGGAAATGTCTGCGTGTCCTCCTGGTGACCTCAAATAAAGCAAAGAAACAAGTCAGACTGCTGCAGCTTGAATCACAAAGTCAGAGAAAGAATGTAAACTATGTCACTGTGGGGGAATCTAGTTAATGCATGAGGATCATGTAAGGTACATGTACCTCTCTCACCTACACCAGCCACTGACATTATGTAACCATGGGCAACAGGCACAACAGCCCAACCATGAATGTCACTTTCAAGTTGTATTTGGTGTTGCTGGTCTGTTAATGAAGTGTTATTACCATTCAGTGGTATCACGCTCAAGTACACCACAGCTGCTCTCGATGTATATCAGATTATTAATCCTGTCGTAATGTGGATCCAGTTTTCAAGTTCAAATGTTCATTATTGGTTCGCATTGAATTTCCAAAGCAACATGTAAAGCTGTATGTTAAAACTATCTCTTAAATGTCTGCAAAAATCTCTAAAGTTAAGATTCACTGTAGATCAGACACCCTCCTGTGGATTAGTGTTCACTGCTTACTGTTTTATTTCACAGAGGCTTTGTTTCTGTCTTCTTAAGAACATTTTTAGCTATATCAGCAGACTTGATGTCTGTTCAGTCCAGATTATATTCTGTTGGGCAAAACTGATTTATAGAATAACAAAAATACAGTCTTATTTACTTCCCAAATCAGGTCTGCATTGTAAAGGAGTGGCATGTAAAAAAAGCTCCTCTTGCACCCTTTCCACAAGCTAACATCCGATCTAGAAATAGTCATGTGGTCCGGCTTGTCTGGCTTTAGTAATCAGTGCTAGAAGCTCAGGTTTAGGCTGCGGTGTTGCTTTTACTCACAGGGAAAAGACACACACCATTTGCTTTACTAATGTTACACACTTTTCAAAGCATTTTCACGCTCTGCATGATAAAAACTCTAAAACAAAACATAATTCAGCTGCTTTCCTCTGCCCCTCTATCCTTTCACTCTGCATTCCACCAACAGCTGAACAGCCGCTGCTCAAGAGCCTTAATCACATCAGACTATTTTTGCATCTGCTGGTCTTATCATTGGCAAGAAGCGAAGCCCTGCACTCAAACAGTCTTAAGTGCTGTTAATGTGCCACATGCCTTTGGTGAGAAGACACACATGAGATGAGTTTTTAAAAGTCAGACATGAAAACGGGATGGAGACTTCGAGTGTTAAGTTACAGAGGGTATCCAAGCAGACAAGAAAACTCAGCAGTGAGGCTTTATTTTGATTGTTTCGTATGATTCACAGAATAAAAAAGTAGACCTAAGTTAGTAAAGAAGTCAAAGCAATAGAAGTATCCACTATCCTGTCTTCAATCCCCTGATGCAGCTGTAACTCTAGTATCTGAATCCCGGCGATAAAGTGGGATGAAAGTTTGCCTCCAGCTACGTGGTGAGAAACCCCTCCCACCTCTCCCCGGCCTCACTCTGTTATCCTTTCCCTGATACACAATGCTCACACAAATTGGCAAGCCAACAAAAGGCGGCTTCTTCTTCTCCTTCTTCTTCTCTTCCGAGTGGAACTAATAACCTCACACAGTAAATTCCCCAGCTGGTACCTTGAGGAGCAACACCAATAATTACATAAACGCTCGGATGTTAGCATATGCCCGGCAGTCATTTCCTAGGTATCACTTCATGTCAGTATCGCATTCTTCGAGCACCCCAGGATGTAGTTCAGATGCTGGGCTGAGGTAATGATGTGTCTTCTTTCTCTCCCAGGTTCTTGTTTCTTGACTTGGCACATTTCACTGATTAGATCATTACAGAGGAGTGTACGTTACAGCTGATGTCACTTTGAACTCTGGCTGCTTTAAACCTGTCCCTCTGGGAAATAACAGAGCTGTAGGTTGATTGTCAGATAATAAAGACAGAAAGCGTATCAAAGCTGTCATAGTTAAGTACTTTACAGTCACACATATACATTCTTTAGTTGGACCAATTTGTCAGAAGAAAAACTCCTCCAACAGTGGAATTTTGTAGAGTATTTTTGCTCCTTTTAGCTCCTTGTTTTGGCCAATGTGAGTCTCTAATGACTCTCTTTTTCATACTCTATAAAACCCAGTGCCTAGGGAAAAACAGACTTCTTTAACTCCCAGTATTAATCTGCTAATGATCAAATACTCCCTTGGGAAGTTGGTGGAAACTAAAACAGCTCTTAATGGAAGAATATGATATAAATATTCATCAAGTGGGGCCAAAAGTACTCTATTTTGTTTCTACCAAGTGTTAGCAGTAGGGCTGTAAAGTCCTAGTCGACTGGTCGACTTATTGGTCGATACGTGCTGAGTCGACAAAAATTCTGATTGGTCGACTCAATTTTTTTCAACATCAGTTTACACCTTATGGTAAATTACATCAGGAGGAACATACCAAATGCTGATGGAGGTGCTTTGAGAGCATTCCTGTTTCGCAGGTAACGGTCTCACCATTTTGGATTCGCCCAACCCAATGGAGACCGACTGGAGACAGGAAGAATGAATAGCGTTCACATTAATCAACGTCTGGTGGTTTGCTGAATATTTATGTTTTAGCCTTTTGTGTTTAATTGCCTTCTTTCGCCGATATCAGTATATTTCTACCCCGCCGAGCCGTGCTCCGCTGACCCCTTCTTTAGTTGATTTTTGGTCAAAAATTTCAGGGTTTTAGTCGACCAAGGATTTCTTTGGTTGATTACAGCCCTAGTATTTTCACTCCTTTTCACTCTCTTTTTTAAACTCTGTAAAACCCAATGCCCAGGGAAAAACAGACATCTTTGACTCCCAGTATTTAGCTACTAATGATCAAATATTCCCTTAGGAAGTTGGTGGAAACTAAAACAGCTCTTATTGGAAGAAAATGATATAAATATATAAGTATAAAGCCAAAAAGTACTCCAGATTCCTTTATTTTGTCTCTACTGAGTGTTCACAGTGCCCTTACATTATGGACTAAAAACTCTGAGAGGTGATTATATCAGGGATTCTTGAGAGTCGGGACAAAACACTTCCTAAAAAACTTTTTTTGAGAATGCACACTATATTGATTAGAGTTATTTATTACTGTAGAGAAAGGTCTTAGCTATTTAACCCCGTAAAGGAACAGGCTCTAAATAAAAACATTTTTTCTATAAATTAACATGTTTCCCTTAGACAGTGGATTTGTGTCAACTCCATCAGACACACAAAAAAGAATATAATTTTAATAATTCTAGTCCAACAAGAATCTAAAGTTCTGATGTATGTTGTAATAGTGTTTAGTTACTCTGATATGCCATGAAATATAATATATAAACCTAATGTGTGATTTCACACTATTTTGAAAACCAAGATTTCTAAATAGTTGCATTTTCAAACTTTGTTTTTAATTTTTATATTATAAAAACAATTTCTGTAAGTAAATAAGACACAAGAGGATGTAGAGCCAATGCTCCTTTATTACTTAAACAATATAAACTGAAGAAACAATTTTTTTTTTCTCCAAAATTGAAGAAAAACATACATCTGACGGTGTTGACGAACACCTGACGGAGTTGACGAGAAACTGACGGAGTTGATGACATTGCATATGTTATTGAACAAATGTGTTTTTAAACCGATTGACAATAGGTCAATAGGTGAAAATAGATTAAGAACTAATAACTCCTTGTTTTCATACTGAACATACCGTTATTGCAATTAACCACCGCGCCGACAAGGCGTTTCCAAGCACATTTTCATATTTTGGTGAGTTGTGCAGCCCGGCATAAGTATCCCCCCTCCCCTAACTCAGCTCCTTCCAGTGGCGTAGGTCATAGGGAGGGAGGAGAGAGGGCGTTGAGTGGATTTAACACAGCCGAGACCTGTATTGACCAATAACATCAGCTCTTCTCGCCTTTGAATCCGCCACTAGCGAGGCGTATTACCATTTTCGTGAAGTAGTCAAAGAGATCAAGAGATGTCTGAAGACAGCAATGCCACACGATGGCGACAGAAGGCAGCTGTGTCACTGTAAGCGCTGCATTGGGCGTCCTCCGCACTGTCTCATATAAGCACAGATGGATTTGGTGTGTGTAATGTTGGACCCACTGGTAAGACAAACACCCTTTTCCACAAATAAAGACAATCACATTAAATTGCATATATTTAAACCTCACGTGACAAAGGTGGGTTGTGCGCAAAGGTCACAACATAAATTCCAATAATGGCATTAAAATCGGAACCAATCTGTGTGTAAATCGTGCCCCGTGGCCTGGCTCTTTCTTTCATAGATGTTGGCATATAAAATAAATTTGGCTCACAAAACTGATTATTATAATATTTGTATGTAGGCTTAAAGTAAAAAACTCATCTGATCACTGGAACAAATCATCTGTTCAGCTGCCGCAGCAGCAGCTGCAGCAGGACGGGTAGAGGACACAAAGACATGTCCAGGTTGAGCTGCGCGAGAAATAAGAGGAAGAGGAAGCTAGAAATGGGGGCAGACAAATTAAATATCTTGTTAACTTCATCATGTGTGTTTATTTACTAGATATTTGATTCAATTTCATGCAGATTCAGCAGCTGTGTTAATTTGGTCAGGTTGAGTGTCCAAACGCATGCCAAATGCGCTCATCAGATCAGATATAGATCAGAATATATCAATATAGATCTAAATGTATGTGCTGACACAGATTATTAGTTGTTATTGATTATTTATTGCACGGAAATGTTCCTGACACTGTGGAAACCTGCTGGTGAGGCCGATATGCCGCCGGTCTCCCAAAATACCACTAGCCCATCCGGATCCACCTGCGCTGAAAGCTGACCAGGTTTGAATCTGCGAGCTTTCAGCGCACTTTACACGCCGGCAACAAGTACGAAAATGTCACTGCACCAGCTGATTCTGTGGACACCTCACCCTGCCACACATCCACGCCCAGCTTGGCGGACCTCGGTACACCTCAGTCCACGAAAATACCAAACTGGCTGTACACTGAGCTCCGCCAGACGAAAATGCCACTGCGCGGGTTTCACCACCCTCCGCCATGTCGCCGGTGGACACAAACATAGAGCCCAAGGTCTGAGGGTCCAAGTTAACAATGTAAAAATAATAACCTTTTTCTTCTATCTGGTATCCCACCTACACTGGGGTTTAAAAGAGCAACATAGAACTTCTTGCACACTCTATAAGAAGCCAGTGTGTAGATTTTAGGTAGTGAAAATTACATACTGCACCTTTAGGATTGTACATTAATCAATCAATCAATGAGATTAGGTGTGTGTGTGTGTGTGTGTGTGTGTGTGTGTGTGTGTGTGTGTGTGTGTGTGTGTGTGTGTGTGTGTGTGTGTGTGTGTGTTGGGAAAGTTTGACAGTTATAATTAAGCAGACAGCCTGCCCATGGTCTACTCTACAAAACAGAAGTATATGGTAAAATAACGTAATATATGCTATATATGTACTTTTATGTGCAGATAAGACCCTGGAATAACATTGTTATCCTTAACCATGTTCAAAAATAGCATAATGTCAGCACATTAAGAGGTTATAGGTGGATTTGTCAACTCCATCAGCTTACATGTCAACTCCGTCAGACACAAAATCTGACGGAGTTGACGTCTGACGGAGTTGACGTAAGGGCATGTATTTTCCCTCCAAAACATTTATTGTACAGTGCAGCTAGCTACTTTTTTGGCAGTTGCTAGCTGTCCTGATAATCTCACTAAAATACTTTAATTGAACTCACTATGGTTTAAAAAAAAGTATAATAATGGAGAGACGGTGTTGACATGGTCCAGCTGTGACCATACAAATATTGACATTGTTTGTCTAAAATATCAAAAACTGTAAAACCTACCAGACCATGTGTGGTGGTGCTGCATTCACCAGAAGCAGGAAATGAAAAGGGGTGCTCAGGGATATAGCTGACCATGATATTGCATGATTTAATGAGGTTTATAGAATAATCTGACGGAGTTGACAGAAACTGAGGACACAACTTTGATAGGCAGATTTTTAGGCAAAAAGCTATTTGATGTTCAGGCCATTCATTGTTTATATATTTATAGCCCTGAATTTTTATTTGATTTATATGTTTTCACAATTATAGAGTTTTTTAAAGTTTTTTGGGGCTGGTCAATATTGTGACCTCTTGCTGAGGACACAAGCAATAACATGGACCTTCTAACCACAGACGTTTCATTTAAACAAATATCCCCCAAAAAAGTAAATATCTGTGCTAAAAAATAGGATTGGTATACACAAATCCATTAGATTTAACTTTTTGAGTATGTCAAACATTTAGAATTTCTTAATTGTTTTGAATAAATTAGACTTTTCTATGTAGGACATGTTTTGTCCCGACTCTCAAGAATGGGTGATATCTCTAACTTTGTTCTAGTGCACCCAAGTGACCAGAACGAATAAGAGGCAATTAAAGTCTGCACTACAGAGGTGAAGATTTAACTCCGTTGGCAGAGGAGGCGCCACAGTCCTTGTTTCATTAGCTGTAGGATCGATTAGTGATCTGGATTTTGTTCACAGAGTAAAGATGAGTCTCCTCTCTCTGTTGTATCCCGGTCTCATCTCTGATTCTTCTGAAAGGCGTCAAGAGTCTCAGACACCAGCATCTGATGTTTGCCAGAGACATCATGTCAGGTCACATCCAGAGGAGAAATGCACACTTTAGAGGTGTTTGACATCAATCATAGGTGATTAATCGTCTGCCAGAGCGTTTGATGTGGAGGTGCCCCTGGAGGTCCACGCAGACACATTATCAAAAAATCACCTTGAAAGTTGTAAACCTGTCAGGTGGACTTTTGGAGATGTTTGCCTGGACTTGTCTCTTGCCTCTTGAACTCAGCTGATTTTTATCTCCAGGGCTCTGACATTTTTCTTGCTGAATTTTCTCACGATACAATTTCATGAAAGGACATTTCCACCCAGCATCAATGCAGCTGCTCTTGATAATAAAATATTATGTATTTTGTGAATTAGAGGGAATAAACAACATATTTTTCTGTGTTTTTACAGAGACTTATCCAACAACAGCATTGGCTGTCTAAACGTGGACATCTTCAAGGGCCTCACCAGTTTGACCAGACTGTAAGTCCATTTATGTAACATGATTGTGTGCAAATAAATGCACTGTTTTCAAACTACATTGGTGTATATTGTTGTGATTTTTTTCCAGAAACCTTTCAGGGAACATGTTCTCCTCATTGGCGCAGGGGACCTTTGACAGCCTGGTTTCTCTGAAGTCCCTGTAAGTATAATAAAGTACTGAAAATCACATGCAAGCCTGAAACTCGTGCTTGAAATGTGGATCATAAATATAGTTGAAGTTGCTAAAAAGGGTGTTGAAACTAGGGGTGTTTTTTACCAATCTCTTCACATGTCTCTTCTGTTTCTAAACGCCCACAGGGAGTTTCAGACGCCCTACCTGCTGTGTGACTGCAACCTTCTGTGGCTGCTGCGTTGGATCAAAGAGAGAAATATCACTGTCAAAAACACCAAGTGCTCCTACCCACAGTCTCTCCAGGGGCAGCTGGTTACCTCCCTCAGGCCGGAGCTCCTCACCTGCGGTAGAGAGACACACACACATACATCTAGATTTGACAAAACATAAAAACCCAGAATAATATTTATTTGAAGGCTCTGAATCATTCATCACATCACTGACAGTATCTGAAGCGTAATTTGTCCGGTGCATGACATTTTGGCGGGTTGGAATAAGTCATGTTGAGTTGTGACTCAGATTATGGTGTCAAAGTGGCTCACTGTGTCTTTAATTTTTCTGTTTTTGGTGTCAGTGAGACTGCTGGTGTTTGGGGAGCAGGGTCTTGTGCAATGACACGGGAGATAAGAGACGGGCGGCCCAGGCCAGCGCCGTCTTTGTTTGTACTTGCTCATGTCTTATCAGTTTGGCACTCATCACAGTGAGGGATTATGAAGCACATGGCTAAGATCGAGCCTTGGCCTGATGTGAATGACAAATAGCACTGATGCACTTCAAGGCACCAAAGTGCCCCCTATAAGACAAGAAGGGAAAGTCCCACATTAGCCTCATATAACCCCGCACCAAACAGAAAGAAAACCCTCATTTTTCTCTCTCAGGGCATCATTCTCAAAATTCAGGTACTTCAGATCCTCACCAAAGATGTCTCATCTGGGATTTGTTTGTGTCCAAAAAAGCTTACTAGCGAACTCTTGTGTATCCTATGCACTCTAGTATACATGTAAACATGTCGTAGAAATGTGCAGTGGGAGATTTAAACAAAAAATGCAAAGTTATGAGCATCAGAATAAGATCAGAATCAGCTTTATTGACTCGATATGCAGGCTTAGACACATGAAAGATTAAATGTTGAACTTAGTTATGCATAAGACCAAATGAGAGAGAGTCATATAGGCTTCAAATCGTTGTCAAATGATGTTTATTTTGGAGGATAAAAGTTAAGGAAAGTTATGATTCTCTCAAGAAGAGACAATTTTTTTCTCTCCATCATTGTGTGTGTTCTCTCTGTCATTTACAAAGATAATTATCCCTGAATGTGATGAAATAAATTGCCTGACAGTGTTGCAGCCCCATGCCCTTTTATGGGCATCAAAGGGACATGCACCTTTGCTAATAGGGAATATTGAGCACAAGTTTCACACTAATGAGGAACATCCATTTAAGACCACACATGCTAACATATCTGCTGCCATTCTCAGATTTCTCTTTGAAACTTGTTTAAGTACGAGTTTGAGAAAAATCAAGCATGCAGGTGCAGTGAGTTGCTGTGATTATGGAGATGCTCTGTCAGAAACCATAATCTATTGAAATAACAGAAAAGTTTCAGTACTTGGATCAGTCGTTGTAGTTTATAGACTTGGACAAGTATATAAAAACTTGCTGAAGTACTCAAAAAAGTGACAGAGCATGTCTACAGCAGAGCTCAAACTATTTTTTTAAAGTTATCACTGTCCTGTCTCATTTTCTTCAGATGCTCCACTTGAGCTGCCATCCTTCCAGCTGACTCCATCCCAGCGTCAGGTGGTCTTTAAGGGAGACAGCCTGCCTTTCCAGTGTCAGGCCTCCTTTGTCGCAGAAGACATGCAGGTGCTGTGGTACCAGAACGGCCGCATGGTTAAATCTGATGCCGCTCAGGGAATCTTCATCGAGAAGCGCATGGTGCAGAACTGCTCTCTGATTGCTAGGTAAGCTGCTTTCTCAGAGCTGATCATCTCTGTCTGTTAATCCTCAATGTGAGAGTTTTCACTGATTCAGTCTTCATTTTTTCCTCTCAGCGCATTGACCATCTCGAACATTCAGCCTGGCTTCACTGGGGACTGGGAGTGCAGAGTCTGGACCAGCAGAGGCAACACCACCAGGACTGTACACATTATGGTTTTGGAGAGTTCTGCTAAGTATTGTGCTCCTGAACGTGTGGCCAACAACAAAGGGGAATTCAGGTGAGTGTGAACGCAGACAACAGACACACTTTTTACTGTAAGTAGATTTGATGCTGACTAATCAACACATCAGTGAACATGAGGTTTGAAGGCCCTGCGATTTGGGTAGATAGAAAGTTTTTGTTTTGTTTCCAGGCGGCTGTCAGGTGAAGCTCTGTAGCTCCCCCTTGTGGTCATACATGTAAAATCCCCTACGGCTCCAGCCTTGATCTTGACTTTACTTTTGATGTTTCTCACATTAACACCGACATGACACAGTTAACAGAAAATCAGGACATGGCATGTGCTGGTTAATGAGGACTGTGATTTTTTTACTCTCCCTCCCTCCAGGTGGCCTCGCACCCTGGCAGGGATCAGAGCCTACCTCCCCTGCAACAGATTGACATCCAGCGCAGGTTCCTACTCGGGAAGCTCTGGAGACGAGCAGCGAGCATGGCGGTACTGTGATCGTGATGGGCTGTGGGCAGAGGAGGACTACAGCCGCTGCCAGTTTCAGAAGGATGTCACAAGATTTCTATACGTCATAAACCAAGTTAGTCTTCTCCCAGCTTCCTACTGCTTTTTTTCTGTCTTTATAACATTCGACCATCTAAAACTTACTTCCTCTTTCTATCTCTCCTTCAGATACCTCTAAACGAGAGCAACGTTGTGGCGCGGGCTCGACGTCTACTTGTCTACACGCATGACGCCGCCAACTTCTCCGACAAGATGGACATCATCTTTGTGGCTGAGATGATTGAGAAGATCGGCAAGTTTGTGGAGAAGTTTAAAGATGTGAGTCCCCCACACAAACCGCTTCACTTGAAGCAATTTAACTTCTGTGTAAACTTTTTAATAAGCTTACGTTCACAGCAGATGCATGCAAGTTGTGTATTACCCCTTTGAAGGACAAATAGATTAATGCTCGACAGCTGTTTGTTGTCATGTTGTTTAATGAGAAAGGATGTCTTGCCTCGACTTTCAGCGCAGCTGCAGGCCGGCGAAAAGAAAAGTTTTCAAAGTGAAGGAGCCGCTAACATGTTGTAGCGGCTGCAGGCGGGCGCCATGTTAAAGTTTATTTGGGTGACAACATGCTTGAAATGTGTTTCCAATAGTCACTCCGCTGTCTCCCTCCAGCGTGTGTTTCATGCTGTTAGATGCAAACAAGATGCAGGCTGAGTATATTCCCTCCTTATGTTGCACTTAGATCACTCAGAGTCGAAGCTGTTGAGCTGCTGCAGCACGTTAAAAGTTAGTGTTTTTTTTAAAAAGAGGTAAAAATAACATTTGTGTCTTTCTAGTTGGGTGAAGTGATAGTCAGCATGGCCAGTAACTTGATGCTGACGGACGAGCGGGTGCTCTGGATGGCTCAGCGTGAAGCGATGGCCTGTTCGCGGATCATCACCTGCCTGCAGAAGATAGCGGGGTACCGCCTGGCCACAGCACAGGCCTTCTTCCTGGTAAGTGTCTGCGGTTGTTTAATACCATTTGAATCCTAGTAAATCTCTGCTGCGGATCCAGGGGGGTGGGTGGTTTGTGCTTTGGGTAGTAGTTTTTTTAAATGTATTTATTTTATTTTATTTATTTTTATTTTTGTTTATTTATGTATTTTCTTGATGCATCTATATGCATTTATAGGTGTGGGTATATGTGAATATATATTTTATTATTAATTGCTGTAACATTGACTTGTACCTTTTTACTGTTCTCAGTTAAATTAAATAAAAAGATAAAAGTAAAACAATAATAAATCTCTGCTACATAACTGATGCACTGATCACTGCAGCTTTTTAATTCTGGATAATGCTTTCTTTAATATTTACTACGTGTTTATTGCATGCACATTAAAGGTAGTTCACAGATTTTACTCGGATTACTCTTTCTATCTCTGTCCCTTGACCTTCATAGCACTCTTGCAGCATCATATAAAGCTTCTCACACAGTCAAATACCTGCTTCTTTTCACTTGTATTTCCTCTTGCATGATTTCATTCAGCCCTTCTGTCCCTTTGCCCTTAAAAATCTGTTTCTATTCTCCTTCCAGACTTCCCCCAACATCGCGCTGGAGGCCCACGCTGTCAGAGCCAACGACTGGAACGGCATGACCTGCATGTTGTTCCAGAGGCCGAGCCCGGAGCGCACACCTGGACAGGACCGCCAACTCACCTTCAAATGCAACACGACCAGCTCCCTTTCCAGCATCCTACACAAGGTCAGCTCCTGCTGTAGATAACTTTATACTTTTACATACGACATTGATGACTTCAGACGTGTTTTTGAATCATGGTTGTTCTTTTTTTTTGGTAGAGCACCTTCGTAGAGGCCTCCCTGCAGCTCCCTCAGTCTCTCTTTACCCAGACTGCACTCCCCGGGCAGGTAGATGACACAGTCTACAAGCTCCATTTACTGGGCTTCCGCAATGGCAAGTTTTTCCCCTCAACAGGGAACTCCTCTCATTTAGCTGATGGAGGGAAGAGAAGGAGTGTGGCCACCCCTGTCATAATGGCCAAGATAGGTGAGTCAATATTTTTCTACCAAGTATTTTGACATATAATGAAAACCAAAGTACATAAGTCCTGGTAATCATTAATTTGAAGCAGAATTTTATAAGTTTTCATCATCTTTCCTGAAACCCCCCGCCTTTGTTTTCCATCAGACGGCATGTCCTTTCGTGTACTCAAGACCCCCGTCAACATCACCCTGCGGCGCTTTGCCCGTGGTTCTGACGCCGTGTCTGCCACCTGGAACTTCAGCCTGGTTGGAGGCCATGGAGGGTGGCAGAGCGATGGCTGCCGGATCCTGAACCACCTTGACAACTTCACCGCCATATCCTGCAACTCTCTTGGGAACTATGGACTGCTCATGGTAGGTTCCTCTTAGTTGTTTTTTACCTTTATATGACAATGCTGACTTTTGCTTATTTGCCCTCTAGTGACCATTTGGTAGTATTGCAAATCCAAAAAAAGAACTAGGGTTGCTCACAGTCCTGTGGTTGTGGACTAATACTGGAAGTTTTTGATCTGTCTTGCAGGACCTGAGCAGCGTGGAGTATTTCTCTCCTAGCATCCGACCCCTTCACCCAGTTATCTATGCCACTGCTATCATACTCCTCCTCTGCCTGCTGACTGTCATCGTCAGCTACATCTATCATCACAAGTAAGAATTTATCAGTTTTGATCTATTAGTTTTCATTTTGAATTCGGTATTTTTCACTATTTATTCCACCATCAAATGAAGAAGGATGTTTTTTGGATTCTTTTCACGATTTTCAACTTTTAAAAATTTTTCCTCGATTATTTCTTGCTAATGACAGATTCTCCTGAAGTAACTCCTGAAATCATTCAAAATTCTCAACACAGCTGTTTTTTTTTCCACATTACTTTAATTTGCTGATTCTGTGATTCCAGGTCCGTCCGTGTGAGCCGCAAATTTTGGCACATGCTGGTCAACCTCTGCTTCCACATCTCCCTCACCTGCGGCGTCTTCGTAGGCGGCATAAATCAGACGCGACACGCAAGCGTCTGCCAAGCGGTGAGTACACACCACCCGCGCTCCTTCCATCAACCGTCCCGCTGTTTGTGCTTTCCTCTAAATCTAATAGTCAGCAGGCAGACCTGAACGAGCGCTTCGGCTGCTTTCAAGGAAACACATTAAAAACGTGGCCTTTGGCTGAGCTCACTCTGCTTATAAAACTTGTGAAAACTGTAAAAGATGCTCAGAGAGATACTGTAGATTGTTTCCTGAGCTGCAGGCAATCCCAGCCCTCTCCTCCTCCCGGTGTGTTGCACTGAGACACATCATCTCTTCATTTTTCATCACACAAAGTACCCGGAAGAAGGATTTCGGCAGATAACTTTTTTGTTTATTTATATAATCCCCTCTAGCAGAAATTTCTATCTAACAGGGAGATTTCTCAGCTCAGGCGGATGATGACATACTCAATACAGAATTGCTCAAGGATCATCTTGCCATTTCAAATCCTCCTGTGTACCGCTTTCCATCATTTTTATTTCATAGGTGAAACTTTGCATCAGGTGCATTCAATCATAATCAAGTAGGGGATTAACGGCTCATCTTAAACTCCAGTAAATGTCACACATATATAATGATGCTCTCTTTTCTAGGTGGGTATCCTGCTGCACTATTCAACCCTGGCGACAGCTCTGTGGGTGGGTGTGACCGCCCGGAACATTTACAAACAGGTGACCCGCAAGGCCAAGCGCTATGAGGAGCTTGATGAGCCGCCGCCACCACCACGGCCCATGCTGAGGTGAATCTTTGCTGTGAAATTAAGCTGTTTCTTCAGCCACCTCCCCTCAAAGGTGGTTTTAAGCACTAAAGCTGCAATAAAGAACTCATAAATACACTCGCTGAAGGTATTGCTTGCTTTTGTAGCTCATAAAGTGGCTTCATTATTTGTTTCAGTCTGTTTCAAAACCAGCTAGAGAGTCCTCAGAGGAGCTTTACAGCTCGAGTGCTGAGCATATATTTAACTGAAAGAGATAGTTTGAATGTTTTTTTGAAGTAGAGTTTTTTAATAATTGAGATGCAAATGGAAAGAAGTCTGCGTGAGCAAATTTTGAAAACATTAACGACCGGTTTTATCACTTATTCATTAGAGAAACAATACACAATGCTTTTTTCCTATTAATAATGTAACTGATCATACTGCAAAGACAGAGAACTGAAGAGCTCTGCAGATTTTCTAACATGCTGGATATCAACATGCAGAGTAGACTCATCAAGATTAACTCCATGGACTCATCATTACGGCTCTCCGAAAGGAAAGAAGAGCCATGAACCAAAAATTATTTCAGACTCTTCAACGTCCAGTTTTTGATCAGAAGATGGTCAGAATGAGGTCGACTCTACCACCAAACCCTGACTCAAACACTGAAAATTCCTTTTGGGAGAGCGTAACTTTGCAATTAGGAAACCCAGTTTGTTCATGATCTACTCTTGTGGCTCACACAAGCTTTTCAACCTTTTTAAAATGAGGTAAACTCTGTGATAGGGCTGACCCCATCTGTAGTGAGTGATAGCCTAGTTCCTGCTCTGATTCTTGGGCTAGTTTTTCTCAAGAAAGGGGCTGAGCTGACCGTCTCTACTGGAGACAAATACCTCATGCAACCCTATTTCAAATAAGCCAAACTATTCCATGAAGCAGTTTTTTTCTCTTTGTTTTATTTGGAAAACTGTCAAAAAGTCTGCAGGTGTAATTGAGTTTTGTAAAAGTGATGCTCAATAACTTGCTCTATCACCTTGAAATAAAAAAACAAATGCTGGATAATGTGACACAGAAATAGAGGCTCTTTTTCCACACATGGCTCCTAGTCCAGAATCAGAAATGCAAGTAAAAAGAGTGTGACAGTGCTCTTGTTTGTTGGTTTAACCGCCACATGGTGTCACTATAGAGCCCTGATACATTGTGAGACCTCTGTGCAAAATCAGAGGACTAAACCTGAACCGCCTCTCTGTGCTTTCTCCTAAAGGTTCTACTTAATCGGGGGAGGAATACCCATCATCGTCTGTGGCATCACTGCAGCAGCGAACATCAAAAACTACGGCAGTCGCGCCAATGCGCCATAGTAAGTGGTCCCAATTAAAGCAATTAAAGCCGCCTTTGCCCGGTATGTGCTCCTGAGGACTCTGTGTTGTTGTATCTCGACAACAGTTCAATAAAAAAGATCCATTCCCATGAGAGATTTTACACACTGGCCTCAGGATGAGTCGTAGCTTGTTATCGAGCGGTCGAAGCTGGTTGCTTTAGTAAATAATGCATATTTTTATGAGCGCAGGAAAAGTTTATTCCCTGAAGTTGTGATTATGGAGGCCTATTAACAGTGTGCGCATCCAAGCAACAAGCAACTGCTGCCAGTTTACAGCGAGCCCCCCCACCACCACTCCTCCTCCCCCATCCCGCTATAGTGGCAGCTGTTTAGATTGTGAAACGTGGTGGGCTAATTGAGAAATCTGGACCCGTATCTGTCTGAAGTCTTTGGAGTTTAATTAATTTTTCGCGAGGAGGATGAATCCAGCCTTTGTTATTAAACTTAATGGGTCGGGGTTCTGTAAATATTGGATGAAAAAAGTTTTTCAAAGAGTCGTTTTAAGTTTTAGGAGTCGATAATAACGGTAACAGAATAAGTAAAGAGGATGTAGAGTTTTTTTAGGAAACTCTTCTGGCAATTTCCCCTTGAGGCAGTTTAGTATATTGCAAAAAGATCAGCGTGAAACATTAAAGAGCTTCTCCAAAAAGCCTGTTTACTGAATGTTTAATCCGTTGTTCCCTCTGTTTCTAGCTGCTGGATGGCTTGGGAACCCAGTATCGGCGCGTTTTACGGCCCGGTGGGGTTCATCATCTTTGTGGACTGCATGTACTTCCTCAGCATCCTGCTTCAGTTACGCCGCCACCCTGAGCGCCGCTACGAGCTCAAGGAGCCGACCGAAGAGCAGCAGCATCTCGCTTCAGCCCACGCAGAGCCCGGACTGGACTCCCACCCGCTCACTCTCCATCTCCAGCCTCATGACGCCTCTTCTTCCATCGTGTCCGCTCCCCACGCCGTTGCCCTGTCTGCCCTGGAGAACGAGCACTCGTTCACCGCTCAGCTGATGGGTGCAGCGGGGGCGTTAGGCCTCTACGCTGCCCTCTGGGTGTTTGGAGCCATGGCTGTATCCCAAGAGCACCCGTTTGACTTGGCGTTCACCTGCCTGTTTGGCGTGGCCGCCCTCGCTCTTGGTGCGTTCATGGTGGCTCATCACTGCGTCAACAGGCAAGATATGAAGCGGTTTTGGTCCCAGGCTTGCTGCTCAGGGAGACGAGCGTACTCCGCGCAGGAGGATGTGCTCCTTCCTCAACCGGGTGTGGCGATGACATCCACCTCAGGATCTGTCAATAAGCCAGACGGCGAGTCGACAAAGTGCGGCCATAGTAGCGCGGACTCATCTTACACAAATAAAAGCGCCCCAAGCATGCGTAACTCCGCCCACGGCAGCAAACTGACCAATCTGCATGCGGAGGCCGCTCAGTGTAAGCCTGCCTCTGCACCGGTTGCAGCGAATGGTGCCGCCATTTTGGACAACAGCCTGACCGAGCATTCAATAGACAATGAAATTAAGATGCATGTGGCGCCAGTGGAGGTCCAATTCCGCCCGATGAACAACATCACGAATCCAACAGCGGCGACAAACGGACACACAGGCAGGCACCACAAAAACAGAGCACGGACACACAGAGCAAGCCGCCTAACGGTGCTGCGAGAGTACGCCTACGACGTCCCGACAAGCGTGGACGGCAGCGTGCAGAGCGCCCCTCAAAGGCGGCACCACCATTACGACATAGCGGCGCGGAATAGCCGCAGAGCCGCCTACATGGCCTACAGGGAGCGACACCAGAGCCAGATGCAGCAGGACAGCAGCGACAGCGCCAGCCTGCCGCGTCGTTCTCGGTACGCGGATAAAGGAGGAGGCGGCTCCATGGGGAACGGGTCGGTGGTAACCGTAGAGACTGAGCGAGAGGCGACCCCAGCGGCGTCAACCTCGAGCAAAGAGTCCGCTCCTGTGAAGCAGCCTGAAAGCACAGAATTAGAAAGTCAACCAAAGTCTTACGGGCTGAATCTGGTGTCTCAGAATGGGGACACGCTAAAAGAAAATGGACAACCTGTGCCTTTAATCAGCACAGAGAATACAGCCAGTATCAAGACCGGCCTGTGGAAACATGAAACTACTGTGTAGCGACAGTTTCCGTCCCAAAGACTGCATCCGCCTTTAAACTGTGAAGTGTATTTGTGTTTGATTTTTGATTGTAACGTTGAAGTACAATCAAACTCTGACTGCCACTGATCTCTCTCTCTCTCTCTTTCTGTAGATAGGTTTTGTAAATGTGTCTATTTTTATAACTTTTAATCCAAACCTTTTAATTCCATTGGAGAGTTTTGTAAAAGAAAGTGCATGGTCTGAGCTGTGGCCCTGTGAATACAAACCCTAACCCTAACCCTCACCCTGGGGAGTTTTTTTTTTCCATTTTCTAGTTTGTCCAAACAATAATAAAACAAAAGTTTACAGCTTGAATGTTTGGATTCTTGTGATATCACCTGAAATATCCTCTGAGGTCCCTGCAGTCAGAGCAAAGGTGAGCCGGTGCTGTTTTGTTTCAAAGAATTACTCTCACTGACATTATATGACAAGCTGGTAATTGGGTTTTTCACTGACCTCCAGGTGGCCTCAGGTTCCAGGAGCTGCACTTTAATTGCACCTGACTCTGGCTTTGGGCTCCACGGGTGTTTTCTCCTCGCCTCTTGGCAGTTTTGATGGGTGCAGCACACATTCTGGGCGCCCGGCTGTGATTGACAGCCGACTCATGCGGCAAAGTGAAGCCGCCATGAGAATAACAGATAATGAGAGCAGTGTAACTTCTTCCTCCTTCACCTTCTTCCATTTTCGCCGACAGCTGAACCGGAGTCCCTCTCACAGCTTGACATCTCTGTTGGGAAGTGAGCCCAGAACAGACACACGAAGTTTGGTGTAAGTTTGTCTGCTGACGACTCTGAAAATGGAGTTTGACTTTTTGCAGGTTGAAGTTATCCAGCTGGGAGGTTGTGTCAACATGTCTGACAGTATCACATCTCTACAGTTGTAAAGCTCAAGGGTAGCTGAACACTGGTGGAACAAATATACAGAACCTCTTATTTTTGATAAAGCAATAATGCTACTGTGGTGGTTCGTAAGTATATACAGTTTGTATTATTAGAAAACTGTTTGAACGGAACCCATTCAACTAATTCCCACTTGTTTTGACCGATAAATCATAATTTGAGCGACAGATTTGTACTTGCACATTTTGCTTTGATTGCTACACCCTTACACAGAAGGAATATCTTAAAATAAAAACAGTAGTTTGCCTCTTTATTAAAAAATGTTATGAATTATGACTCTGGTGTCTGAAACATCAGCTGATCAGCGTATATGAACCTCTCCATGGGCACACATATATTTCCAGATCTTCAAGGATCCTGACTTTTGGACTTCGCTGATATCAAGCTGGGTGGTCTCTCTTCCCTCCAGGTATTCATCATTTCTAAAAAGAGTGTCATCTCAGTCCATTTTCAATTTACTCAGGTCCAGAGAAGTCACCTGCATCCCTGGAACAAGTTTATGCATTTGTGGATGTCACGTCATTGGTTTTTGGAGGAGAAATTTAAACCCATGTGATGATTTTCATGCATGTTTTCAATTTAAAGATTTAAAGATTTTGATTAGATTTCATTACGGTGGTTTACAGAAGAGAAACGGCCTCTTTGTAATGTCTCTATTAAAAAAACCCAGTCATGTGACCAACCTGACATCAATTTTAAACCACTTTTTAATGTTTTTTTGTTTGTTTGTTTTAACCCCTGTACAATTTCCCCCCCTATATTTTTCCCCTTCAATTGGTCATATTTTCTCTGTTTTCATTCAGTGTTTGATTTAAATGATTTGCGAACCATCAGACTCTGCTTAAACTCAAAATTTTACACAATATTCAAACTTTTGTAGAAACACAGATGTAAGATGACCAACTTGAATTATTTGCAGAATGATTTTATGTAGATTTATAAAGCAATTAAAACACTTTAAAGTCTTACTGAAATCTTACTCTCTAAATTATGCAGTATTATTGGAAATTTCTTCAAAAGTAAAAATATTGACTGGTTTCATAATCCCTAAAATTCAAAAGCGATTTCATAATCATGTATTCAACTAGCAAGCTTATAATTTAAAGGTCACGCAGCATCTGTAAGAGAAGCCCAGTTCTGGTGGTCCACTGCTGCTCATCCCAGTCAGAGAGACAGCACTGCTCCACCGGCTCCACTTCCTCATTAACGGCACATTAATAAAAGGCATATTTCACTCAGGCAGAGATGTATGGCCCGGCCATCTTGGATGTGACAAATTATAATAAGACTTTTGAATTATGTAGCGAGCAGTTATGCCTTGATTGGTGGCAGCCTCGCCGATTCCCTCCAGGCATGAAAGAGTGATCTTCAAGTAATTGCCAAGGTTCTTAGCGAAGCCATCTGTCAGAAAGTTCAGCCGAGGTCGTCTGCGGGGCGGGAATAATGAGCTGAGGATGTTTGGGAAAAAAAGCTCATCAAGGCAAACAAACTGATTGGATCTGTGCTTGGAGATCAGAGGGACACCTTGAAGAGAAATCAATTGTGAATTAAGATAAAACAAATTGAGCCATTCAGGTCTTATTTTAGACTCAAGCTAAAGTCTTTTATGTCCACGGTGAAAACTTGACTGGGAATCCACGAAAAGCAAACTCGGTATGTATGAGGATGAAGTTTCTGTGCATGATTTCTAACCAGGAGCCACAGAGACGACTACAACCAGACAGGTGATGTGATGTTTACACTTTCCTATCTGCCTGTAGCGCCTGAAGGGAGCATCTGCCTCTGTTGTGGAAACATGCCACAGGAATGAAGATTGATACTTTTTAGCGAGTGAAGCCATCTGACTGTGCTGATTATAATTAGGTGGCTCAGGCCGTTCAGGGAAACCAGATTTTTTTCTTCTTCTTTTACCTGCAGCCTGCTAATCACTGGAAAACCTCCCAGGCCTGACTTATAGATGAAAACATTAATTAGGTTTGTCGTGACGGCCGTCACTGTCAAGCAGCTGTCTGCGGAGATAATTGGAGCATCTTTGTAGTTATGGAACTTTATGTGGACTCTATTTGAATGCTTGCAAATGAGGCAAAGTGGCATCAGTATGCAAGCTGAGTTTGGGATAAGGTCAAGGCTTCTGCAAATGTTTGCATTGAAGCACTTTGACATTCAGCTGCCGTAGTTACACAACACTGCAACTTTATGCTGTAGACATAAGCACGGACAGAAATAGCTGCAAATGGTTCATGATGATTTTAATGATTTCTTTACGAGAATATTTCCACTTCACCGATATTCTTCCTTTAAAATCTGCTAACTCATAAAACAGGACTGTCTGGAGCTCTCTGGAGATGACTACTTGGATTTTATGCTGATAGAGCAGCTTTAAAGGGAGATCTAATCAGATGTAGGAGAACTTTTCTTCCAACATTATGTTTTTGATTTAAATAAGAAAAAGTAAGAAACCTAAAAGTGGCCAAAATGGATGATAAAGGAAGATTACCATAAAAAGAGTTCTTTTTAAATTTAGGGCATTTTTTGGTGTTAAAGGTTAAAAGTACTCAGCAGATTTTGAATTAAAATGACCTTTGATACTACTTTTTCTTGAACTAGTGCTTGAAATTCAGTCCTGTGTTAAATGTTCTCTGAGTGTCTACAAAAGCAGCCTGTCATCCATGCAGTTTCTGCCTGTTAACTAAAATAAAACCTCCAAATCAGCTGCTTTTCTCACCTCCTATTTCTTTTGTTTTAGCGTACAACAAAACTCAAGCCCTCACCTGCAGAGGTACTAATGTTTCATCTGTAAAAAAACTAAAATATATAATGATTAAACTTTGGGCAGCATCCGAGGGTAAGACAGAAATAGACACTCATTGATCTCAAGGGTGGAGGCGGTACGAGGAGAGGAGGAATGTGCGTCTGATTTGACATCATTAGATCAGAATCTCATTTAAATGTGTGTGTATCGAAATAGTTCAAACCCTCAAGTGAAGTTCTTCCTTTTTATCCAGACAACATGGACTTGAAGTGCTCATTAGAATACTATTTTATTGCCTACAAGAGCATAATCAAATTTAATCAAACGATGCTGTATTTTTCTTCACTTCTTTTGGAGGATATTGAAAAAAATAAGGTGCAGTCACTCTCTAATGTTGTGTCTCATCCTTACACAAACACACACACTCTCGCTTTCTCTCTTTCTCTCTCTCTCTTTCTGCCATATAATGATGACATCAAGCCATCTGCAGAGCTCCCATCCCCATGTGTCGGCGGACCTGTACTCTCATTAATGCCCTCACATTCCCATCCATCTACCTGTGCCAGAGTCTCTGCACACAGTTTGGCTTCATCTTTCTGTCCAGGTGCGCAGTTATTTATAGCCACCTCAAAAAACAGTATCACTCATTGTTCATGGTGACACTTTCAGACAGTACTGCTCACTCTCTTGTAAAGGTTGTCCAATGGAGTGGATTTGTGTCTATGCGAGAGCTCAGGAAGAGTATTAAGGCCAGGTTTGGGGACAAAGAATGAGAAGAGGAGGATTTTTTAGGCTCTGCGGGAAACAGTCAAAATGTTTGGAATCAAATTGAAACTTTGAGAGGAGTAGAAACTAATTTTTGATTAAAAAAATTAAGCTTGAGAAATAGGCTTCCTGGTATCAAGCTTTGGTGTGGTTTACACTTTCCAAGTGGGAAAATGTGACTGTTTTTGAAGTGGAGCCAACATCTTTCTTCTTACGCTATAGCTGAATTTAATCAGAATTGAATCAGAAATCAGATATGCTTGCAAAGAATTGGGTTTCTGTAGTCGACAACATGCAGTTTTCTCTTTTTTACCTTTACCAAAATACATTTTGACTGTAATGTAATGTAATTTAAAACTTTATTTCAGACCCAGTTAGTACATATTATGCAGAAAACAATACAAAATATACAAAAATTAAGAAATTTCCTGAAATTTAAACACAAATAGACATCTGTTCCAATGCTTCCAGAAACAAGAGGGATGTTTAATCTCTTTGTATCACTTATGTATTAAAATCCATGTCCTCAGTGTGGAGCATGGAAACACTGGTTCCTATCTTCTTTTGTTTCAGATGCCTTTGATTGCATATCTCAAAATAAAAGTCTAAAAATAGACTTTTCATGACAGCTAACTTCAAAGTAGCTTCTGACGCTCATCAGAGGGGCCTCATTTAACGGAGAGGCTCCTGTTTGTGAAGAAGTGTCAGCAATTTCTCATTTTACCAGCGGAGTATAAAGCCCTCCTTTTTGATGATTTGTCTCAAACTGTCTATTGTGTTTAACCAAACTGATTGTGTGTTTTACAGTGAGGCAGAAAACTTTATCCTGTCTGGTATTCTTCAGGGACGGTTGAATAATCCTTTGCAAACTCTTTCCCTTCACTGCTGTGAAACAGATG